TGCTCCTTGAGAAACAAGTAGTTTAGATGCAGAACGTTTACCCGATTCTTTGGCTTCAACGAATTGAAATGTTTGTTCAAGTGTCATGTTTTGATTTCTTTCCCCAAGGAGATCAAGTTGAATCTCAGAGTCGTTGAGTCCACGAATAAGCACATCACGTAAGATTGCGTCAGTATAGTTGACTTCGTTGTCGCAGCTGGGGCATGGTATTAAAAACTTGCACACACCTGCTTGTCCGCGTAGTCGAGCCCCAAATGAGCGCACAGTTTCTTCATGGTCTTGTGTCATGTTGTTCAGTGCTACCCGAGCTACCATGGTATTCTCTTCACGCACAGCTAGGATCCTGATGGCTGTTAATACATCTTCTTGAGACTTATCCGTCAGCGAGCCACCAGCTGATCTTGTGAGGTCTCTCCGTAGATTCTCATCGCAACACTCAAGAAGCTGTATAACAAGTTCCTTTTCCTTTATTTTAGTGGCTTCTACGTAGTCTTTCCATCGTGAGAGGAAGTATGACCAATCTTCACTCGTGCCAGCGGATGTAATGGTGGGCTGTTTGACTTTTTCCACTTTATTACAGCTTGCAGAAGTCGAGGCTGCTGTGTGTACTAGCGCATGGGTAGTCAAAAGTGCAGCAACGATTGCAGCATCTAAGTCATCTGTTTCAAAGTCACAGTCTGGGATTGGACACTTCACTGAAGGCATCTTGTTTGTGTAGTTGTTGCTGTTATGTGTTGTTAGTGGTCTCTCAGTGGATTGAATCCTCCATCATAGATAAGTAGGCCGATACTATTTTCAGATAACTTTATTATCCAAAATGATGGAGGTCTGAAACATACAAAAAGTAACATTGTAAATAAAATCAACTATCTGTTGGTAAGACATAAGTAATAGACTAACAAGTAAATACATAATCCTCTACATACCTATGGGAATTAACTGTGCCCCTCTGAGGGCTTACTTTTTCATACGAAGCTAGATGTATTGTAGAGCTTATGAACATATTACAAAGACCTTACAAAGTCGTTTAATTTCACTTTGAGATATATTGATGACGTCGTGTCTTTAAATATCCAGATTTTTATTGGCCACGGCCATCATATATACTGACCGGAATTGAAAATCAAAGACAGGACAAACTCTTTTGCATCCGCCGCTGATCGCGATCTTTTCAATGCGAAACCAACATAGACAGCTTTCCACCAAGCTGTATGATAAATATGAAGATTTCAATTTCCCTAGCGCCCCCAAGTATAGTGTTCACATGTCGCAGTTGATTCGATATTCAAGGACCTGTTCCCATTATCACCATTATCGTGACGGACAAACTCGTAACAATATCAAATGATGCCGATTGGTGCAAATTATGGGGAAGTTTTACGGTCCTCATTGCGATTTCATTCATAGTCTATTACTTTGTGCGATATAAAGCTGGACGTGTTTGATGCTCGTTAGTTTGCCTGTTGGTTCCGTTGTTGTATATCTTGTCCTCATTTGAGAAGGTGGTCTTACTTAATTGGATCGACAAAGATTTATATAGAGGGTTTCATCGATGAAACAATAGAGTTTTGTACAGCTTTACTTATGTCTGTTTGAAACAGTGATGCATCTATCTTACATTTGCTTGTTTTTACTTTCTAACGTTGTTTTTCATTGCAGGACATATGGACCTGGATGATGTTTGGCGGAAAATAGGTACCTTTGGTAAATATCAGCTTCTACAAGCAGCCTTCCTAATGTCAACCATTCTCCCAGAAGCGATTCAACTACTGGTTGTTGTCTTTATCGGTAATTATTGGATACTATGCATAAACTACAAATATCGTTGTGAAAAGAAATAATTACTCATACATCAATTTGATGAAACTATGACAAACTGTGAACCAAAGGCAGATTAATATGAAGACTCATGGAAAAGTAAAGGGAACTATTCATCATTTTCATGTTAATGAGTTTCATAATTGTAATATGAACTTCAAAATAGTTTTGGATTCAGTTTACAACTGCCAGAGATTGGATGAGACAAGAACATGTTGTATTCGATTTACTTTCTGAGTGGGTTAAATCTATTCGGTGCAACATTCTTAAACGAATTTGCAGCTTGAAACCTAAGATGAAGACAAAATACAGTTTAGCTTTCCTCGATCCTGATTTTAAATCCACATTTCAAATATTACATGAAAGTTTTCTGATTGTGTCAACAGATTAGGCGTCTAAAATTTGGATCCTCGTCTGGAAATATTATTACATTTCCTGTGTACAAAAAAGAAATGGGCTTGCTTGATAACAAAGGAAACACCACATATACATTATGTAATATTTCAAAAGACGAAATAATGGCAAATCATGTTTCGGTATAACAATAACTTGGAATACCTGCTACTGATAAGGATACGGATCTCCCCCGTTTATACGGGACCCCTAAATTTCACTAGAATCCATACAAATAATATTTTACTGCCAGCTCATCAAGCCTTTGTCTATACAACTTACCACCATTCTTAGTACTATAAAATCTAGGTTACATCATATCAAACATTACAATATCAAAAATACTCTTTTTTCAGTATTTCGTATACATACGTCCAAATCAAAGAAGAGATATATGGACGAAATCATAAAAATGATCTAGTTTCTGTTTGACAATATCGTTGTCGAGCTTGATGGTAAGAAGTTCCAACAGACTGTGCCCTTTACCGGCTGACTTGCTTTTGTTTTCATATGAAGCTGAATTCTTGAAGAACTTAAAAAAACAGGTCATAAAGACTTTGTAAAATCGTTCAATCTCCCTTTCAGATATGCTGATGACGTCTTGTATTTAAATAACAAGACATTTATTGACCACGTCAATCGTATATACTCACCAGACTCGAAAGTCAAAGACACAATAAACTCTTCTATATCTTACATGGACAGTTTTTCCTGAAGCTGTATGATAAACATGGTTTCATTTTCTCTATTATGAATTTTCCATTTCTGGACAAGAAAATGCATTCTCAACTTATAGTGTAAACTTGTATTTATTCGATATTCAAAGGCTTGTTACCATTACCATGTCTTTCGTGCAAGAAGTCGTCATCTTGTGAACACAGGGTTTCAAATGCTGCAAGTTAACGCAAATTATGGGGTTTACGGTCCTCATAGCGATCTCGTTGAGAAATATTCTCTTTCTTTTTGCGATATGAAGTCTTTGATGTTCTTGAGTTTGCCTGTTGGTTACCTTGTATTATACCTTGTTCTCATTTGAAAACGTGACATTACTTACTCGTATTGTTTGGATGGACCAGAGTTTACATGTTTGCATTGGTCTCCGTGAAATTATTCTTTTGTTCATATTTTGCCCCAGTGTCATTGGCATTGAGTTTGGTTTGGATTATGATTATGATGACATGCTGATTTTTTCTATGTCTATGTGCTTTGGTTGGTTGGTTCGTTCTTTTGATCAGTTGCGCGCGTGTTTCTTTGTGGCTTGGGCGGTTTTTGTCAACGTCCTTTGTGGACTCACAGTGACAAGAAGTACCTTGTAAATGCGTTATAAGAATAATGATTAATATTTTAAGACTTATTAACTGCTCTGTGCCAAACACAGGGTTGTCTCATTTGATTCTTATGTGATTTAATAAAGGTGACAGAGAAACAAAAACAGCTGTTGTAATTGTAGAGAAATAATTCTGCCACACATTTATACTGTATATATCATAATTACGATTTAGTGAAATGTATATGGAAAAATATTGTGAACGGTGGAGGGGGCAAAAGTTCAGTTGGTGGAGTATTGTCCTTCGCGACCTCAGGTGCTTTATCCGTGGCGGTTTTTGTATCTCTGGTACAAACTGGTCCCTTCTGTCGTTGTAATGTTTATGGTCAAGAGACTTTACCTCCCTGGTTCTTGATGGCATGCCACAGGTCAGGTAGTCACTAACTATTACAATGAGAACTTAAAATAGCACTTGTTTCTTACTGGGCGATGGTCTTAAAAAATTGTAAACCTTGTCTCCATAGGATTTCGTCCACCTTACCAATGTGCGAATGTGTCCTCGGAACAGATCCTATCATACACTGGTCGATACAGTAACTCGACTTTAGACTTGTCATACCACGAGTGTCATATTGACTTGATAGTTAATGGCACCAACACGACACTTCTATCCCTCTCACCATGTCCAGCCGGATATACCTACGGACTAGAGAAGGACCGAACATTTGTGACAGAGGTATAACTTATAGGTATATACTAAACTAGGTTCGAACACTCATGACAGGGTAACACAAAGAATTGTACAATAACACACAAGTTAATAGAACTTTTCAACGTAACTTAGAATTACAAACAGTAGAACCGATGAATAAATAAAGTAAATGGTACCAGGTAGCTGTTTATCCTTCTAAAGGCTCGTCATTAATGGCCAAGTGCTAAATGGATTTTTATCTTATTTTAATATGTTTGTGCCTTAGACTATCTGGAATGTTCATGAAAATTAATATAACTGATATTCTTCGGCAGTATGACTTGGTGTGTAACGGAGCAGAAAGAGCGGAATTCTCACAAACTTTACTCATAGTCGGTCAGACAGTGGGAGCTACCATCTTACCACAGTGTTCTGACAGGTTCGGGAGGAAAACAATCCTTGTTTTCTCCAATATTGGCTTGCTGATAGCAGGGCTTGGAGGATGTTTCCTGCCAACGTTTACTGGATTCACAACAATGAGATTTCTAATAGGAGTATTTCAACAAGTAGGTATATATAAAAAACATATTTCTTACGTAATTTCTTAACCCATTTTTGGGACACGAACGGTGATAAGAATCAAACGTTGATATAGTGTTATGAAATTTGGACGTCATCTGCATTAATTGATTGTAATTGATATAACGATGTTTGAAGAATTAATTACCGTTAATATTTTTTCGCCAAATTCCAAAGAGTATAATAAACATTTCAAGAGGTTAAATACCAGGGTGAATTCTACATCGATATTCATTTTGTTAGGGAGTCGCTATGGCACGTCCTACGATGATGCTAGAACTGTTTCCGGTGGAAGTTAGGTATTTGACAGAGGTAGCTGCATTGGCCATTTGGACATCCTCTACCGTCCTCATCACGCCTGTAGTTTACTTACTCCAGGACATCTCGTGGCGATATCTCTACCTCATTTTCACGCTCACATCTGCATATAGTGTCTTTGGTTATTGGTATGTACTAGTCAATTTTCGGACTCAGTATTAACAAAGTAGAATAAAACCATAATCTCTTAACTATACAAGTTTAATTGATGTGGCATTATCTAATTAACATTTGCTTAAAAATCCTAGAGGCTAACACGTTTCTTTGTGGTACAAAACAGCTGATTTACAGTATGTTAATATCTTAAACAACAGTACGTGTATGAATGTAATCAAAACATATTTCCCAACTAAAATATGCGAGTAAAAACAACACTCTGCATTCCTTTTCAATAATAACCATTTATAGATGTTATCTGAAATATTAAGGTTGAAACAGCCAAACCGAACTAAATATGGCCATGATGAAATCATCTTGATATATCTGTTTTAGGATATGTGATGAATCAGTTCGATGGCTGCTTGCAAATGGCAAAACCTCAGAAGCGAAGAATATTTTAAGAAAAGCTGCAAAAATTAATAAAGTGAACAAAGACGAGGTTTTGTTCATAGTTGAGAAGGTTAAAGCTGAATACTTCACACGTACAGAAGATCTTGATACAACTACTATGATACCGACCGGAAATGACGTAAAGGAAATCAACAAGAACAACCTACCAAAATACAACATCTTAACTTTGTTTAAAAAACGTCGAATTTCAACGATAACCGTAATAATGATAATTGCTTGGTAGGTTTTTTTGTGCATGCATTTTTATACCATCGAAACAAATTCATCTTAAGTTGAGGTAGGGTTTGTATTTCTTTGTCTCGCAATGTAGAATAGTTATTTAGGTAATTTGGTTTCATAAAGACTCGTTCAGGTCCTTTTTCAAAATTTCGTGTTAATATCTGACTTTCTATTCCGCAAATTCTCTCGGCGAATTATCTAAATAAGGTATTACGAAGGAATAAGGCTTATTTACGGTGTTAAAGTGGAAATACATGTTTTTTGACTCGCTGGCGTAACATTACAAAACAACATTGCAAGGATATAGTTATTATCATTTGAGTCTTTGAACCGTTTTTACATCCAAAAATGTTTGTGTTCCCTGCTGTAAAACGAGATTTTGAAAATTTTGGAAATATTCTAAAACTCCAGAACTTTAGTAACTCGATATTATTTTTGGTTATTGACTAGTTACATTAGTTGTCATTTCTCCATCTACGTTTAGAATAAATATTGAGTAATATGTTTTTCAACGTATGTCAATGTTTGTTATCCACTAGGACTGTTGACAGCTTGACATACTATGGTTTGATCCTCTCCTCAGCCTCTTTACCTGTTGATCGATATCTGAGTTTCTTTCTGCTGGCGGTCGCTGAGTACCCTGTTGCAATCTTTGAATATACGCTAATGAATAGGTATGCCAAATTAAACACTACCAAAGTCTGTAGATACTTTGTTGTTGCTGTATCCATAGAAGACAAAGTCGATGTATATGGTATTCCTAAGTTTAAGTTAAATTCACACATTAGAATAATTTTGTGATTTTAATATTAAAACAGTTCATATTTTATTTTATCGTTAGTTTATTTTATTTTATAGGCATAATGACGCACAAAGTAGTCCTGGTCAAAGTTACCTTGTCAAATCGAAAGCCATTTATAGTTTAAGTTTCTATGGATTTAACTCTTTTGTTTAACAACCGATTAGGTTGATATTTAAATGATACCATGGGAGTTGCTTGACACTTACCCATCGTGGTAGAAAATCTTATATCTGGTGTCCACGTAGGCATGATAAAGATGGAATACTGTAAACCAGGGACGAAATACTAAGATAATGTAGGCGATATATCATTCCAATTTCATATCTTGAATTCGAACGTGAAAAAGAAAAACTTGGAGAGTGTGTCCTATGTACATTGATATGGTTTTACAGAATAGGACGGAAGCGGTTCTGTATCCTATTCCATGCTGTTGCAGCTGTTTCACTGTTAGCGGGAACAGCAGCAAACTATTTATCAGGTAAGGTCATGTTTATACCTATGTATCTACAGCTATAGGGACGGTTACGATCATGGTTATATGTACATTTAAAGCTGTATTAGGAAATCTTGAGTGGTGATCGAAAACTCGAATTGATTCCGAAGTAAAGACGCTTACTATCTGTATGTCATTAAATCATTAAAGGGTAAGTGAATTTAAATGAAATCTGAGACAAAGACAGAAACAAAAACAAAAAGAAAACAAAAAACAACAATAATAATAAAAAAAACCACACTGATTTAAAGTGAACCAGGCATTCCGAAATCACAAGCAATTAGTGACTCATTCGCCTTGCATGTCTACGATAAAACAAAGCGTTAAAGAATACTATAAAAGAAATATTTATTTTCTCCCTGAACAGAAATATGCTATATTGATGGTGATTATTTTCACATTTTTACAGATTTTCCCGGTGCTAATATCGCAATCATGGCATTCTTTTTCCTCGGCAAGCTCGGAATAACGGGATCGTTCAGTTGTTTATTTCTTTACACCCCGGAAATGTACCCGACAAACCTGCGGTAAATTATTTGATCTGCTAATCACCCCTATTTGTAAATGGTAAATATCGATGTACGCTGCAAGAGTATTCGGGAACAATTCATTATGATGGAAAAAAATATAATATTTTCCGGATTTCAACCATAATAAGATTTTTTGTATTATTCAAATGTAATTTTTAAAAATCTCGACGTATCAAAATATATCATATCCCATACTCAAAGGATGCCAAACTATAGCATATTATTAACAAAGTAAAGACTTTCATATTAATTATTGAAAAAGAGAATAAGACCAGATGTTCTGGACGAGTAAGCGTTTTCTGCTATAAAGACGACACACGCCATGTAAATATTGGTCAATCCAAGAAAGTGATGTCGCGTTCTCAAATTATAACTTAGTTAACAACAACAGAACCGGCAGGCAAACTAACGGTCATCAAACACGTCCACCTCCATATCGCACAAAGAAACAGATTATTTCTCGGAGATCATTATGACGACCGAACAACTTTTATTGCATATATCTTTACGATACTATTTGATACTTTTTCGTGTGTATTGAGCTACACATCTTGTTTAATTATAAATATTTATGAAACTGATTTATTTTATTCGCATATTGTAAAAATGTAAATGTAACACCAGTACAGGTAATCGCATAGTAAACTTTTTTCTTTTTTTTTTGGAGAATTTTTTTTTTGATATATAAACAAATACAAGAATATGACAAGTAAATCAATTATAAAATCAATTCAATTATCGCTCTGTGGAGGGTCTTTTGTATTCAATATATTCTTGGCGTTAGATTTTTTACGAGTGGAAAGGTGTAATGTTAATAACAATTGTCAAACGCCATATGGAATTTAAAATTGATTAGAATATATGTTTTCCTAGGACGATTGGTATTGGACTGGCCTCTGCTGCAGGACGAGTAGGAGGTATGCTTGCGCCGTTTGCTGGTCCCCTGGTACGTTAAAGACCTTTTTTCCAAAAATAAAAGACTTAATAACTACAAGTTTAACACACATGACCATGAACATTACGACATTATACTTTATCATTATCAATATTTAGTTAGGTAATGTCAGAATGGTACGAATTGTGAGAATATCTGAAAAGCCATCAGACACCATGATTTAATAACTGTTTAGCTATGTCAAATAATACATACATACACACACACACATATGTATAGGTATAATCCTATTGATAATGATAAATAATGATCAATTATTTTTAAACAAACACTTTGCAAGAGGGCAATGTGTTCAATACTATGAAATATAAATTTAGCTGCTGTTGGTCCTTGAGCACAGACGTATAATAAATTCTGGTGATAGTCGTACTATTGATAGTTAAATAGTTATCGATTTATTGTCACATTAAATGCAGATGTTACTATTAGTGTTTACACACTATAGTGATGGTGGTTACATTAAATGCAGATCTCTTAAGTAGTGTTCACAATGGCTAGTGATGGTTGTTACATTAAATACAGATCTCACTGGTAGTGTTCACAACGGCTAGTGATGATTGTTACATTAAATACAGATCTCACTGGTAGTGTTCATAAAGGCTAGTGATGATTGTTACATTAAACACAGATCTCACCGGTAGTGTTCACAAAGGGTAACGATGATGGTTACATTAAATACAGATCTCACTGGTAGTGTTCACAAAGGGTAACGATGATGGTTACATTAAACACAGATCTCACTGGTAGTGTTCACAAAGGGTAACGATGATGGTTACATTAAATACAGATCTCACTGGTAGTGTTCACAAAGGCTAGTGAAGTGAAGTTTGCACATAAAAAGGACTTTTATTCAAACAGTGAGACGAAGGCTGTTTTGCGGAGGAAACTACCTTTGTTCAGGGAAATATAAGTTGACAAATAAATGTGTATAGTAAAGGGAAGAAAAATTGTTATGACGAAATGGCAGATATTTAAAATGCTTATGATAAATGGCTGATACTAATGTAAACCATGTGTCATGTTTCTTTTTCAAACAGATTACTGTCATAACTGTTGATTGTTTGCTGTTGAATGCAAATATAACTGTCAAGTTTTGAAATATATGAGATTTATGTATAGATTATTGGCGTTATATTTAGAAGAATTTTTTTCCGAACAGTATGAATGTTCAAACGGGACAATCGGAATGAAAAATGCGAATCAGCATAACAGAGAATGTTCACAAAATGTCAAGTCATTAAAAACATTACTTTTGACCGTGATGCCCCTTACCTGAAAACGCTTTCCAAGTATTAATGCATTTACAGTACAGAGGAACTTGTAATAGTATAGTGTATACTCATTTCCAGTCTACACATGTTAGATGGGCCCCTGGCGCCATATTTGGTTGCTTGTGCGTCATTCTAACGTTGGTTCTTCCCTTTCTGCCGGAGACAAGAGGACACGAACTTCCGACATTGGTTGAAGAATTGGAAGAATGGTATAAAACTCACAGCGGTACTAACCGGAGACAACAGAGTGTATAGTTCATAATACCATTGTCTTTGTTTATTTTCTATTAGTCTCGAATATATAGGTTTATGTCTGTTTATTTCCTATAAGTCTCGAATATATAGGTTTATGTCTTTGTTAATTTCGTATTACAGTTGTGGAATGGCACAACATTACACGGTGTACGATGTGCGCACGATGTATACACGATGTGCACACGATCGGAAAATTGAACGAAATAAGCTATCGCATATTTCTGTGTACGTTGTGTGGTTCTATCGCACAAATGAGCGATTCTATTATAGTTTGTATAGATTTAGAAATGACTTATAAATGAATGTGGGATGAGGTTTATTATTTTCTAAATATATAAGAAGACAAATAAGTATATTTTCTAATAAAGCCATTGATATATAGGTTTGACACTTGTAGATATATCAGATACATACTGAATAGTTAGATACACTCGTAACTTTCTTAAGAAAGTGTCGCACATGACCAGCCTTAGTGTACGGACACACATTATAGATACGTTTTTGTAAACATTAAATGGGCGTCTCTTCATGTCACAGTAATGAATCATCTAAAATCTCATACCGTCAGAAAAGAAATTTTATTTTCATTACTTTTGTGTTATTCATTTCAACAAAAATGTATGCTCAGTTAAATCTGAACTGTTGTGCTTGTTACTCGAGCGACCCAGCCGGTACCGATCCGGACCTGTCACGGACATACCCGTAAACAGATAAATTGTTGTTTACAGAGGCACCACTACTCGCCACTAGGTGTGAAACTATATACAATTAGACTTGTTAATGCAGGTCTAGTGTTATTGCGAAAACTGTCGAATTAAAAAGTACCTTCATAATCACCGATCATCTTTTTTTTTTTTTTTTTTGTTCTTGTGATTGCTATTTAATAACAACTGCACGGATTCTGTTTCATTTTCAATCCGTAGTATTATTAGTCAACCATTTTCACCAAACCGCACAAAATGTTTGTTAGTTAGTGTAAGTGGAACAAAATATACACACAAAGATTTTTTAAAATCTTTGTGTGAGATGAGATAACAGCTGGTTAGATAGTCAATTATTGTGTTTGATATTTCTCACCACTTAAGCTTTGTAAAATCATAGCCTTTCTATTTTTATTTTTTGATTCATTAGAAATTTAGAGTCATATTCTACAAGCATATGTCGAGGATATCAAAAGATTACTCAATAGCAATAGTTTCTATTTAAATAAGCAAATATTTCTGAGACATAAAATGCATGTTGCATGTGATATTCGACGCCGTGTTGACAAAAAATGTACACTACATTGAATGACTCGAAGCAAATTCCTTGCAAAGAATAGAACTGATGAGAACAATGAGACCATATTAAGCTGATACCTGTAATATGTGATTCCTCGTTCTGTTGTTGATAAATACTTTTGAAACAATATCTTCAGCACAGACTCGGAAGGAAAATAATTCAATAGCTTTCCTAATATGGTGCTGGGTAATGCCAGACACAGGAGACGGAAATGTGCGTACAGCACTTGCAGTCACGTTGATTTCAGAAATACTAATATTATAAAGTCTTGAGGTTATTCATGTGAATTGTAGTCAATTGTAAACAAAAACAATTCTTAACGTTTTTGCAATAACCCTTTAAAACCATTGATGTACCTGAGAAGTTATTTTACTATACTAAACAAGCATGTTTGTTTCTATGTGTAGTTTGCAGTCCATTCTAGGTTAAAAGTGCAGTACCACAAATAATCAAATCTGATCACATTTTAGGTAGTTTTAAACACTTTGTATTTAAACATATTTCAAGTGCGGATATCACTATATAACGATTAGAACTCGTAGTGGGTACAGTGAGAAAGTATTTACTGTAGAGCTCAATCTTCACATCCTGTTCTTTGTATTGCGAAATAGGCGGAAATTTACAAAGAACAGAGAACATCGTCCTTAATGACCTGAAATAATTCCAATGTTTTAAATAGATTATAATTTAAGTTTTAAAACCGACAATACGATAACATACCTTGATTTCAACGCACACTGACTTTTATTAGCCTGTACAAATTTCTCTCACGTAGGATATATCTATTATCGTCATCTTATGTTTAAGATAAATACGTTTTACACATATGCAGATGATCTCCCTGAATATAATATAAAAATGCTACTGCATTTTAGAGCGGTGAATGTAATTTAAATATAACAAAACCTTGTGACGCTTCGTTTTGTTTATTGACGCTATAAACCTGGGTCACAGACGTGACGTATAAAGCGTAGTCAGCTTGATAAGTCATACCCTGACATCAATTTATACCTTTTAGAAAGTGCAATGTAACTTTAACATTGCAAGTTTTATGATGTTAAAAATGTCAGAAAACTTATTTCAAAATTCAAATTTCATTTTGTCAAATTTATTATCAAAATTTTCTGCTTTATCTCCTTAAGATAAATGTGATAAAACCGGGTTTTTCAACTAATCCAAGTAAGAAATATCACGCTTTAAAAGGAGAACAAGGTATACAACAACATAACCAACAGGCAAAAAATATCAAGAAAATACCAACATGGCAACATAATCATAATTTAAATTCCATAAAACGGGCAAAGTATGAACAAAAGAAACTAGCTTATGCCCAGCTTCAAATCACACAAAGAAATAGAAAAAATCTCATTGCGACCACTATAACGACCATAAAACTTCCCTATTATTTTCTTCAACCTGCAGTTTTTGAAACCCTGTGTTCCAACATTGTCTGACGGTTGACGCCTTCTTGTACGAAGATCGTGATAATGGGCATCCCCATAAACATAGGGAGAAGTTGCAACGATTTTGCTATCTAGAAATGGAAAATTCACAGTAGGGAAGTCATCACGCTTATCATACAGTTTGGTGGAGGACCCTGCGTGTTTGTTTCATTGAAGGAAAAAATCGAGATAAATGGCTGATGTAGAGGAATCTGTCGTGCCTTTAATTTCCAATTTTGGTGGACATATACGATGGTCGCATTCACTGAAGTTATTATTGTTTAACGACAATGCGTCATTAATATATTTAAACGTGAATTTAAACAACTTTTCAATGATCTTGTGACTTCTTTAAGAAGCTCTTCGATAAATTCAGCCTCGTGTGAAAACCAAAACAAGGTCATCTGACAGAGGGACACAGTTAGTTCCAATAGGTATGTCAATAGCGTGTTGGAAGATCTTATCACCAAACTCAACGATGAATGAATGATAGGATGGATGAACAATTCAGTACCATGTTTACTGTACTTCTTTAACACCTGATACTGAAGATCCACAAACAAAAATGTAACGTTATCTCTTCTTAACAAATGCTCCATAACATAAGGTAAGTAACACTGTTTTCCGTCAGGTCATAGTACCTTGCCTTATAATAACTCTTCAAATGTAATCATTATCGTAGCTAACCCATCAAACAGGGAAAAAAAAAAAAAAAAAAAACAACTTTGAGCATTCATATATTCTGTCCGGTTAACCAATGTACATTCCACAGAACTCTTTGACATTTGGTGAAGCACTCGGTATCAGTCAATGAAATGATACGTTGTAAATCCTTACACTATAAGATATTGAAATGGAAATTGTTTAAAGCATGAAGTTAAACTTTTTAATGATTATTGAATTTCATTGATTTTCTAGATGATTTCTATGGCATCTCCGATTTTCAAGCCCAGGAGGGCTTTTTTTTTTAAATCATAGACACACAACCAGAAATCTATACCATTCACCCCCTAAAACATAACAACTTTAATTTTATTGTTTCAACGAAGGTTTATTATAAGTTTTTCGGTTCACATTTACAAAACAGTGTCTGTAATTTACAATGAATACAAGAAGTTAAAATTTGCTGCTTCTGTAAAAAAGAAGTACACCGTCATGTCGTTCAAACACTTGCTATGCTAGTGTAAACATCCTAAACATATATATAATCTATAAATAAACAAATGTATATTAAACTTCTTTGTAAAAGACAGCATATCGAGTACGTTTGATGTAAAAATAACTCAATGTGAGTTAATACATTTACTTATAACCATCGTTGAAATAACAATGAATTAGTTAAACAATCAGCAGATCACCTGAATTATTTATCATCCTGCCCTTTTAAGTAAATGTTTTGTTATCACGTCCTCTTAATTAAATGTTTTGGAAACGAAAATATCCCCAGTATTTCTATTTATAGTTGACCCATCGCACTTCCGGAATACTCCAACTTATCTGTTCATTATTAAATATATCCTTTAGGTGTGGACTTGATAAAATTACCCGTTAATACCCCAAAATCGGAGATTGAGATTGTTCAGCGTTTGGTCTGTTTGGCAGCGGTACAGTTTGAGTACTGGTGGTCATAACAATACAACAATTATTAATTAAATGCATGATGTTGTATTTTATCAGATGTAAAACACCGTTAACGACGTATATTTATACTGCCACGGAAACATGCAATTTCAGAATTAAATACAGTCAAATGTGTGATAAAGTAGAAAATATAAAACATATTGAGCAAGAGTGGCCCTTATAGCGAACCGAAAATGGTTACTTTCTTAAGTAAAAACCTTTTTTTCACAATTACCACTTATTTATGGTTTTCCATTTCGTACGAGATTCAGAAATCTAGTTAGAAAAGAAAAATACATTTTATCATGTGATATTTTCGTTCACAATTAATAAAAAACATGTTTTTAATGTCAACCTGAAGATGATATAAGTCTATAATATCACTTTTTTAAGATGAAAGGTTTTACGACACAAAGCAATAGGTCAAATTACAGGAATACAGGTAAAGACTATCACGACAATTAAGTAAGAAATGGAAGGTTTGTTTCTATAAACAAATATACATACAAATTAAATTAAAACAAAACAGTTGCTTTGGGACCCTGCTTACAGGTCCGACCTAACGCCGTACGAGTTGAACCCCGTCCCATTAAAAGCACAGTCAAAACAGAAGAACTGATTGAGGAGAAAAACATTGATATGCTTCACATAACATATACGCTTCAACATTAAAACAAATGATAGTCATGCCTTTCATATTTTAATTTTCTCATTTTTTACGCATGGTAGCAACTGGGTCAGAAACGATTCGTTCTTCGTTAACAATAACAAGGAACCTATTTTGGGAAAGAGTAGCAAAATATTTGATCACCGAAAGACAAACTATGGAATTAAAGCAATACATAGCAGCTTCAAAGAAAGTTTGTTTCTTAATAGTTTATTGGCAGAGAATCAACTGCCTATCATATTCAGGAGTGGAAAGTAGGGGTCATGCTTCATATTTGAAATGACGTCACGTTAAGGAATACTAGCTGATATCAATATATTAGAGTAGCAGGAGATCAGATGCTCTTCACATGTGTGATAATTATGGAAGTTATTCTAACGGACTTTTCACAACTTGATTCAATTTGCAGGTGCAATTATATTGTGAAATACATTTCAAACGTGGACAAAATACTTATTTCACGTACGTATGATACGTACTATTTTCCTAATGAATGGCATTAATATATGCATCTATGATACTAACTCCTCGCCTCTTTGCATCGTCTTTACAGAATCCCTGAAACCAGAAATCATGAAATAAAGATATATTATCCATAATGGATAATAATTAATGAGATTTTTGAAAAAACAAAAAAAAGATTATCTATATATAATGAAGACTCCAACAAAGAAATTGCTCCCTCATAACTGTTCATAGCTTTCGAGAAAGTACAAATGTGTCATAAAACTGCATGCTTCTTCAGATTTAAAAAGTGGAATGGTTGCACGAAACAAAACATGACACAAATAGAAACATAGAATGAAAATGATTTGATATGATATGAAAAATAGCACCAGTGATTTACATAACATTAAACAATCGTATTTGAAATATAACAATTTTGATAACACTAAGAAATTGATGGTATAAATCACTTTCTCCTCAAGAACTGAGAATTTCCTCTATGTATGAAGTAATATACAACATGATTCTTCGTAAGAATTGCCTGCTGAGTTCAGATTATATGTAAATTTCTAATTAAAACACTAAAATTAGATCCAATGTATGTTCTATTGCAGCAAAACAGGAAACGGACACATAAACGCTATATATATATATCAACGTTAAAAAATTTTCAATATTGAGGCCAAAATATTTTTCAACAGATATACTTGTAACCAATGCAAACGTAAGAATCATTTGTATTCATGATTGATATCGTATCTAGGTACAAATAAGGTACCATGTAACAGAAATCATCAATAAATTGTAATGACATTCGTAAAACAAAGTAAATTCTAAATGTTTTGATACGTGTTTAACTTCCTAAATATCAAGTTTTAGTTTTATGACCTTGCGAGAAGCAAAATAGTATTTCAAGCAAAACTACTTTCAAAAATTAATGGAAAAAACATATGTAAAATTGGGTTTAGAATAAAAACAATATAGTATTACTATAATACTTCAGTTTCCTTGTGGTACTCTACAAATTGATTTCGTTATTTTCCTTTTTGCGAGAAAAGCTAAAGTGCAGAGTGCTCATAATGAATTATACATGTTAGTTACTGTGAAATTTGAACAGAACGGAATAACAATTACAGCAGGTTCAACCTATAATAATGATTGAGCTTATTCTTTCAACATTGATTTAAATGTTACGCTGCAGACTCGATAAGGTTTGCTGCCTCTACCACTTCTCTGTCGGTTACCACACCTGTTGGAGTACTGATTTGCCCGTTGTCTTTTCCAATAGTTTCAGTTTGTCCATCATTTCCGGCAGCCTCCACATCAGCTGGCTCCCGATCATATGTGACAACATAGGTAACGTCTGACTTTGTTTCTGCCACTTTATAGCTCCGACAGGGGAAGATCATGATACCGGCGCTGATTATCATCAACACTCCCGCCAAAACAAACGCAGCATCATATGCTCTCAATGAATCAAACAGTAAACCTGAAACAAAGAAGTTTTTGGAAACTAGAAAATATCTGTAAAACATAAATGCTATAGCCACTGAGGCCTTGATTTTGGACCCCTAAAACACAATAATGCCCAAATTGTAATTGCACATAATCTTGAAAAAGTGTGACAAAATGTAGCAAGACTGACCTTGACGTTAACCTTGGACCTTCGAATATCTGAAGTATATACATAATTGACCTTTCTGTAAAAGTTGACCAATGAATGAGGATGCTAGGTGTTTGCATTGAATCAGGATGGGACGGAACGGGACGGACATGGATAACGCTATGTGTCCCCGTTTTCAAGGCAGAGCATAAAATACTTATCTTACCTGTAATATATGAAACAACTCGGCAACCAATTGTGTTTAATTCATTAAACTGACTATAGTAAAATACAAGTTACTTATTTGAAATCTTGAATTTCGTTATGTCATATCTTACGGTTACGTACCTGCTAAAAACGGGCCGAAAAGCATCCCAAGAGCTTGTCCGAAGAGGATAATTCCATACGCCAATGTGAATTGGTCTACGCCTGACAAGTCTATCAGAATGGCTGGTATAAGCGAACCCCCACAGGAGGCATAGCTTGCTCCGAATAGCAGGGAAAATACAACAAGTCCTGCATGGGTTAAGTCTTTAATGAGAAATATGAAGACCGACAAGCCGCCAATTGTGTACCACAGTATATACTGCTGATATGGCCGGAATATTTTCCATCTTGGATATTGGATGACGAATCCTTGGCAAACTTTAAAAATCATAATTGTTATTCCGATAACAGAATACAGCATTGAGGCAAATACTTTATCAAACTTGAACTGACGTATAACACACGCCCCTAAATGTCCATATACAATTGTTGCACCCAATTGATACAATATATTATTCAGACCAAGAATATAGAAATCGATTAATTTCAAAAATGCCCAGTCATTTTTCTTTCTTTGCGTTTCCTTCTTTTCTGTGATTGGCTGCTCATGGTCTGATACCTCATCGTCGTTGTTGTTAGGTGACGTCACAGGTCGATACAGTAAGGCAAATACACACATATTTAATGAGATCCCAGATAAAATCATAAACATGCCCCTCCATAAATATTTCTCATTAAGGTAGTTGATGATTGGTGGAAATGCAAATGATCCAATTCCACCTCCTGCTGATGCAAAACCCATGGCGATATTCCTCCGTTTGGTGAAGTATCTGGCGACTGCAACACTACCTGGTATAAATGTAAGTCCGCATCCAACTCCTGTAAAGATAGGGATTTAAATAATATCTGACGGGAACAAGACACTTGTATGTGGCTTGATAATCTCCAAGTCTGCATCTGAAATCAAACCATTCGTGTTTAAATTAATAAAAAGGGTTGAACTGTTTCAGATAGGAGTTTAATGAAACAAAATGATAGACTAAATCATGGTTCCGACCGATGACACAAAGCACCATAAAATATCACACACGAATTTACATGAATAAACTTAAAAGAAGGAAATCAAGAAAACTTTCAGCCTTGAATGACTTTTTACTTTTTAATTCGTATGCAAACTACCTGAATATTATAGAAATTACGCAAAGACACTTCTTGATATCGTCAACCGTTATTCATTTCTACTTTATCATATTAATCACAAAATAAAATTCATAGGACCGTCGATATCATTAACATTGGCAATTATGACATCATGTTTGTTGTTGAATGACTTTGTCATGTTGACATCCTGATATATGTTTTCTGTTGTTGGTTTCCTGTGATGCGGAACGTAAACATAGTTGAGCAAAAGTGTTTTCTTTGTGAGGCCGTCTTCATCCAATATGTCATCAAGTACATTAACAATTTGCATAATCATCATACAAATGGATTATTCACATTTGCTGATGGTTATTACATTTTTTACACCTTTCAATAAGTTATGCTTGATTGGTCTACCTATAACTGCTAGATTCGTAAACAGCTATTATATCCGATTGATGATCCGTCAACATGTGGCTCCATTCACTGTTGGTTTTATGTTGTTACCGTCAAATATAAAATTTAAGAAGCAGAACTATCCGACTCTAACCAAAACATAACCATAAATCAACATATGTGAATATAGCATACAAAGAACTTACTTACTTTTACTGATATTTTCCTATATATCCCATCTTCCTTTTAGCTATAATTCAGACATATTAGTTTACCTGCCTGCTACCGACTTTTCTTAATCTAGAAACTGCTTTCGATAAAGGACTGCATTGGGAGGTATTTAAATGGACTTCCTAACAAGAATCGGGTCATTTTATGTTATATGTATTATATGGCAAGGAGAGATAAGAACAGTCACAAAACACAAATGTATCAACTGACTAGTGTTGTTTGCAGTTGGAAAATTATAAATGTCAGTTATAAGAAGTGTTCTGGTCAAAAGTGCATATTGAACGAAACATGTCTGCATTAATATATATATATAGATAAAAAAGTATAATATACAATTTTTTATATATATACAATTTTTTATATATAATATATATAAAAATATATATAATATAGTGACATCCTATACCCTGTTGAGAAATAACAGCTTTAAATATTACAACCCCATATTTCGTAAATATGCTGTGAAGTTTACTCTTTTCGATGGGCCAAATTTTTCAATATTATGAAGTTAATATTCGGAAAAAAAATCTCAAAGTGTCTATTTTGTCTTTTAGCCACTGCCGGGGCAAATCTGGTCATCAGAAATTTCAGTAACCTTTATGCCACGTTTTTATTTCATTCGAAAACCGACACGGTTCAAAATATACATGAACTTGACAATCTTCTGAAATTATCAGATAAAAGAAAATGATTGAATTATGAGTGTAGTTTAAATGCCCATCTAGACTTTGACGTTTCTTTCGATCAGTTTTGATTTCTCTAAGTCCTTTCTTTCACTGACAAGAAGGATAAAACCGCTGTCTGATACATTTGAGTTCATTCCTCTGCTCTGCTGTAACTAATAACATGTACATATATGAATTTCTGAGTCACGAAGCAAAAATGTATGGTTTCAACACTTCACCCTAAAATGTTTATTAGTCCATAATATGTAATGTCATGATGATCTTTACTTTCAGGTTTAAGTCACAAATCATGATCTGTTGCTTCTTGTCAGAATAAGACTATAAACACCAGTAGCCGCTTAAAAAAAATACACGTACAGATGTCTCGTCTCTATCATATAGGATATCTAAAAAGAGAAAAAAAAAACATGTGAAGTGAATAGATATCACTTACTCCAATATCTAAAATATAGGATACCTAGAGAGAGAATGACATGATATATGAAGAGATATCCCTCTTCCTCAGGCTCTAACATAACGAATATTGAGAGAGAGAATATGTGAATAGATATCCCCTTAGCTCAGGCTCTAAAATATAGGATACCTAGAGAGAGAATGACATGATATATGAATAGATATCCCTCTCCCCCAGGCTCTAACATAACGGATATTGAAAGAGAGAATATGTGAATAGATATCCCCTTCGCTCAGGCTCTAAAATATAGGATACCTAAAGAGAGAATGACATGATATATGAATAGATATCCCTCTCCCCCAGGCTCTAACATAACGGATATTGAAAGAGAGAATATGTGAATAGATATCCCCTTAGCTCAGGCTCTAAAATATAGGATACCTAAAGAGAGAATGGCATGATATATGAATAGATATCCCTCTCCCCCAGGCTCTAACATAACGGATATTGAAAGAGAGAATATGTGAATAGATATCCCCTTAGCTCAGGCTCTAAAATATAGGATACCTAAAGAGAGAATGGCATGATATATGAATAGATATCCCTCTCCCCCAGGCTCTAACATAACGGATATTGAAAGAGAGAATATGTGAATAGATATCCCCTTAGCTCAGGCTCTAAAATATAGGATACCTAAAGAGAGAATGATATAATATGTGAATAGGTAACCCTCTATCCCGGGCTTTAAAGTTAAGGATATTGAAAGAGAGAATATGTGAATAGATTTCCTCCTAAGCCAGTCTATTAAATAAATGATATCATAAGATAGAATTTGGTGATATGTAAACAGATAACTCCCAACCCCTTGTTGCGGTTGTTATTTGCATCTAAGTGGGTTTGTTAATGAAATATGTTTGTAATATATATTTACAGAGTGTTAGGTCAGTAATCATGTGCAGCAATTTTGCGGCTATCCTCTCCATTCGTTGCAGCTTGTTCGCTAGAACACTCGTTCAATATATTATAAACAGCAAATTCTGCAGAAATACAGTCTGTGCAAATATACTTTTCCGAAGTTTGTCTTCGCGTGTCTATCAGGAAAGCGCAATAATTATGGTAATTGGGCAATGGTTATAAACGTTTAATATGTGCAGTTCGTTGGGGTTATATCGTACATATTGTGTTGAATTACATTTCATTAACTGTCCAGGTTTGCTTGCACCGGGTGGATTAAGATAGGCGTCCTAGTGTTTTAATGATACCTTACCACTCATCTAGTTAATCCCCTGGTATCAGTGTTGACTGGGCTGATTACATACCCAAGAATGGCATCAAATCCAGGACGATTCTTGGTGTTGCCTATATTCTGCTGTAAAGGAAATCAGGTATATTTTTGTTAATAAAGAGAGTTTACAATTCAGTTCTGAAAATAGAATCACTAAGTGGAATACACATCACATGTATTCGCCTGCAACCATTGTTCACAACAGGTTTACCTTTATCGTCATGTGGGCATTACCTGTAACGACGCCGTAACACAAAGTCAAGACAGGCAGACTTGTGGCAAAGGAACTCGCCATGAGACCAGAGGATGCCACGATGCCACCGGCAAGTGCCACTTTCCTCATACCAAAGCGATTCACCAATATTCCTGATACAGGACCTAAGGGACAGATAAAATTGGACACGTAAAATAGTGTGTATTATCTTACGACGGCACGTTCTTGTTTGCAAAATGTGTTAATTGCAAAATACCCAATATACCCGCAGTAATTTAGTGAAGGGTAATACAAAACATCAAACTTTAAGACTTTTTGTTTTGTTGTTCTAATTCTTCCAGTAGCTAATTTGTATTTACAAAAACAATCTGGTGGTGCACGGGTATTTTGGACCCACTTTGGAAGTAGAATACTACGATGTCGGCAGTTCATTAACTGGAAATTAAGAAATATCTATGGTAAGAATCCATCGCAATAATGCTATGCAATTTAAAATATAACTGAATACAGACGTCCGATACAACAACAATGATAAAAACCCCGAATTATGTCCATAAATGCTAAAGAATGGCATATGTCCGTGCGATTTTTTTTATCTTTTTTTTCGTTACTGAAGATGTCGTTCTATGAGTTTTTATTAAAATGAATTGGCATTTAGCAGGTCATATCATTTCATGGTTATTTAAAGCAAGTTTGTGCCTTCATATTGCTTATATAAATGTTCGAACAATACAAAGTGCAAATGTAATTAAATGGGACTGTGATATTTAAATTTGGATAATGTAAAAATGCCTGTACATTGCGCGTGTTTCCTTTGTATCGGATCTATCATCAGGTAGATAAAATTAAACATGCCACTAATGTGAACATGTCATGTCTGACCTCTGAGTAACATAACTACTGTGTATTTAGTCTACGTTTTGTTGTGTTTATACGTTGTATATGGCATGGCATTAACTGGAATAGGTCAGTGTTGGACTTAACGTAAATTATATCTTTCCAATGATGTGATGATGTTGAGAAGTATAGCTATAAATATTCTGTCTTTTATATAGATTATAGAAGGAAAAATGCATTGTATGCATTTCACCATCACAGTTCCTTAAATGTACAGCTGATGCAATTAACATCAATACTCACATGTTGCAAACGTAGCTGCTGTTATCACAGACGCAACCCATGACGTTTCAGCCCTACTCTTTCCGAACACATCAAGTATGACGTAATACACAATACCGGAAGTGTACGAGTTGCCATACACAATGATCCGTATACATGCTGCAGCTATGACAACGACCCAAGCCCAAGTGCTATCCGGTTTCTCCATTTCCGAACTTTTGCGGCGTACTTCCTTAACGTATCATCATCTGCAAAAGTAAAAGTGTATTACTGATATATTGTATTACACTGGTTTAACACATATCTATATTTTATCGCTTTTCCATTGTACATAGTCACGTATCATACTTAATGTTTTATGTTTTACTATAAGTCCGAACACGCCAGTAGATGTAAATAACGTTGAATCTTAAGTAAAAGTATTACTCTGATGTTACAAACGTTTTCTGTTCTGTTCTCCTGAGGGCAACGACCTTGCATAATATGCCCAAAAATTGAGATGTCGGCCTTAGCCTATTTCTTTACTTGTGCTAAAAATAAGTAACACGCATGACACTGTCCTTAGGGTACTGAAGAATCAATTTCCCCAAGCTCATTAATCGCACTTACAAGAATAGGGACATCGCGTATTTACACGATGTATAACAATGAGTTAAACAAAAAGTTATTCATGTACATATATAGATCTTGTGCTATTACTATGTGGACGTTTGTACCAGATAAAAAGGATGTTAGTCATCACCAGCTCTAGAAATGTGATGTACACTGTTAAAAAGATAAGTGGAAATTAACCATGAATCATTAAAGCAGTGTCTGGTTAAGAACATACACGTGCTGGGCGTTTTCTTGAAAATTTATAAATATAGGTTATTTTTTTTCAATTGCCTCCTGGATTTCAACATTTATGCCCTAAGCACCAGTAAGTAACAAAACGAAGTAACTGTACAATGCAGTTTAATGAATTGTATCCCACTTTCAATTTCTATGGAAAGGTGCCATACATTTTGGTGTATAGTCATATATAATAGGAGCCTATATACATGAACATTTTAGATATGGTCAGTCGTGCCCAATATCACCTCACCAACTAAAATAATAATTTCAATTTTTTCTAAATTTTAGCCTGTTTATGTTGTAATATTATATCGTGAGGAACAAAAACGTATGATTAATAACGCATTCTTATAACAAATATTATAGCACAATACTAAGTTATCAATTAAAACTTAAACTCGATGAAAAGAAAGTGAAGAAAGTAATACAAATACCCACGGTAAAAGTTCTATGAAAAAAAAAGGTTTACAGCAACTTAACTAAAACAAATATTTACATCGATACCAACGGTTACAGTTCAATGAAAATTAGTTTTACAGTAACTTAACTAAAACAAACATTTACATCGATACCCACGGTAAACGTTCTATGAAAATGAGGTTTACAGTAACTTTACTAAAACAAAGATTCACACAGTAATACAAGAAACAAATCCAGTAGAAATTAGGTTCATAGGAACACAACCAAAAGACATAGCAACAATCATCGAATTTGCATATAAGTATGTAGGACAAGGAAATATATGATATTTTAAAAATAAAACAACGAAGGCGACCATAACAGGTTCCTACAGACCAACAGACGTCATCAACCTTCGCCTGTTTGTCAGCTGTTGGCATATTTCATTACTTTCAAATAGATCAGATAAGTTGGTTACTATATAAAGATTGAAAACTACAATATCACACAATTTAGCGGAAGGCTATCAAAGGTAAGCAAGTGATGAAGAAGTGTAATGCGTCATATTGATAACTGTCTACATTAAGTTAAGATTTTGATATCTAAATTAAACTAAAAGTCTGGGAAACGTCTGTGTACCACGTAAAAACAAAACCCACATACAGAACGGAAACCCTGACAGAAAGAGATAAAGGCCAAAGGGCACATGTTCTGTAACCACAAAGATGTATATCTTATTTCCGTCCACTTAAGTACAATCTAATCAATATTGAAACAATTCTAAAATACAGACTATTCAGAAATACGAGTAACCTCACCTGATGTGATGTGCACACTACAAACATCAATAGTGGAGTAAAGACCATTACCAGTGATCTAAAGCCTAGTCTTGTTGTAAATGTCATCACGTCTACATCACAGAAATTGATGAAGGTGGTGCCTTCCACATTTAACAATTTATACCACTCCACCTAATTATTAAATAACACTTAAACGTTTTTATGAGTTCAGATTTGTGTTCGAAGTTTGGTCCGACTTTGTCAAAGCTCTGACATATATTTCTCTATCGAACTCGTGATATTTTAATATATGTACATAGCTCCCACCAGTCTGCAAAATGCTATTGAATTGTAAGGCGAAGGAAACGTGAGAGGATTAAAAGCGAAAACTGAACTACGACGCCTCATTAACATAACAAAACTCAAATCTTTAAAATTAGATTTGAATCCAGATTCTTTAATAAAGTTTCAATACTGTTAATCTTCTTAGTATCAGCGTGTTTACTGATGTTAAATGTAAAATAACATTAGAAACATATTTAATGGAAGATTTTTTTAAGGTATAAATTTATTCAGTTATGGTTTTGTTGTTGATGCCGGTAGTATTTATAAATATGAAAAATATATTTCCTGTGGACGTACTTGACTTTTAATATAAAGAAAAATCAGTTGTATATTTCAGGAGATATCCTGTTCCAAGTTTTCTTCTATATCTAAGCGATTGATTGCACATTATATATTTCACATTACAACAAGTATATATACCATCAATACAATATGTATTTGTAGGTTATTATGAGTCTTAGTTAGAGTTATAGATAAAACCTGTTCAATCTATACTACTACACATTACATTACACCGCATATTAAGATTTATATAAGAACAGAGCACGAGTATGGTGACCAGCACTGAGCAACAGTTTGTTACAACGTGTGATGATCAGAATATATCTGTCACAGGACATGAAAAAAACTTTGTAAAACTTGTCCTGGCTGGAATCTTGCCTACATTATCACTAGACATATCTTATTGGGATATTTTCAGGCGTGCCATACGAAGTTACTTAGATTGACCACAATTTACATGCAATGTGTCAAGCAGAAGACGCTTACACTACTGGGTCTCCAGTTCCTATCATCTGTGTATCAACTATGTAGAGTTACTAAGAGAGAGGAAATCAAATGTTTTTCCTTTTAAATGTCATATAACCTTGTCAAATAAGCTTTATAAGAGAACACGTGTTTAAAAATCGCATTGCTTTCCATAGCAGATTGATGCATAAAATATATATGTTCAAAGATAACAATATTACATTTGAAATATCTAACATTACTTTGACGTCTACAAGGTAAAACTGGAATTTATATGGGAATAAAAATTGTTACACAACTTGCTTTATCAGAACGCATTACTCACAACACATGGGGAAGTTTTACGGTTGTCATAGTGATTTCATTGAGAACTATTTTCAATATGAAGCTGGTCGTGTTTGATTCCCGTTAGTTTATTGTTGGTACAATTGTGGAATACTTTTTTGTCATTTAGTAACGGGGAATTACCTATTTTAGAATTGACCAAGATTTGTATGATAAGTATCGTTAATGAAGCAGAAGACGTTTACTCTTCCCAAACACCTAATTTTATTCACCTTGAACCTTTTTCAGTAGTCTTCCTTTAAATCGTTCTTTAAATCATAGTTTGCCGTACTTGTTTTGAATCTGAGTTTCGATAATGATTCTGTTCATATGTTTGTAGTTTCATGTTTTGTTTTCAGTAATACATACCTTCTCGTTAACATAACATAATAAATAAAACGTTATGATAATCTGTCAATTATACCATGCTTCACAATGTTATATGGTCCTCTGTATAGTAACATTTGTTTATTTTCAATACCAGATGACGTATATGTGTGTGGGCGATTTTAAGCGTAGTGTGTTATGACGAATATGGAAGGTAACTCTCAAATACAAACACTGTAAAATAACATTTATTTAAGAGGACTACATCAGTTCATAGAAATGACCTAACAGATAAGTTTAAGGTACAACAAGCAAGTCTACATAATCATTTGAAAATAGACATAAATGAAAAGTCCAACCATTTTATAAAGTATCTGTGTTCACTTAATGTAAGTTACAACAGGCAAACATGTTTAAACATGTATAGATAGCTAACAAATGTAAACAATATGCTTTCAAACAATTTTAGTTGAGAAATATAGCAAAGGATATAAATAGTATGCAATGTAGAGAATCATACATTTTCCCGAAGCTGCACTAATTTCACGTAGGTTCCACATACTATACAACCATGCCAACTAGCAGACGATATTTTGTTGTCTTTTATGTTTGACTGGTGGGTATTTTCATTAGCTATTATACAAATACAATAAACAATGTTAAAAATAGATATTTTGCTGACGGAATTGACACAAAGGCACAGCTGTGAACAATATTCTATATATATTTATCGATGAAAGCGTCAGTTCAGGAATTAAAATGGAGTATCCTGATAACGTAGGGTATGGTGAAGGGTATTTTGTTCACTTCTTTGTTATGTGATCAGATATTACACTGGAAAAATCTTATCTACATTTGTTTTGATACATATCTAAAAGTACAAGGATAAATCCATGTCGAACGACATATCTCGAAATCAATAGCAGAAATATAAAGCCAGTATACAGTCATTGCTGAAGAAATCCATACCCTACTCTACATACACGACTGTTGTACGTGTGCTTCTGTGTATAGTCCACACGCCTGGCTAGCGATCAGCTGGTGGAGGTTTCCCTACTCATTTACAACAGAGAATAATAAATCCACAAACACTGCCGATCCTATGCTTAGACACATGTGGCACAACTATCTTACAAATTAGGAGACCTACCTTATATTCTCGACTCTATTCCCCTCAGTCAGCTGATGTAATCGGCCTTCGAGTGGAGGTAATCCTCTTCCGCCATCTATTGTCGTCTACCATCCGAAGTAAATCACGTGCGTCCTACCCAGGCATGCGCGGAGCAACAAAAAATATCTATTATTAATGGATATTTGTTCATTAACGATATGTGTGGAAAATTACAACAACGATAATATTGATAGAGACATGTTTTAACCAGATAGCAATATCGTGATAATATCACCAGGTTTTAGATTTGTTTGTTATTGATTTCCGTGATCAAATGTAGTAGACAGAATTATCCATATTTATAAATAGTATTACACTTTGTGTATGAAAAAGCATATATATATATATATGTGTGTGTGTATACTTTCCAACCAACACAACTATTGAAACCAATACGATATGGCGGCTGCCACCAGGTACATCCAAACGAATTTCGATTACTTTGCTATTCTTTTCGTCATTATCAAAATGATTATGTAGAATACTAAATACGTTTAAGTGTTTAAAAATGAGACATAATTTGTAACAATTTAGTGACGTAGCCAAGTATTGTAGAATGATGACTTAAGGTCCTGTACTATTTAAAGTTTACTTACTGATCAAAATATACAGTTATTTACTTCTCATATGTACAAAACAGTCATCTCTTCGTCCGCCACTCTCAGATCGTAATGACATCTTCACTCTCGAGTGTCCAACAACAACTCCACCTCAGTATACACTCATCCTTTACATTTCATCGTTCACCTTAATCACACATCACACCCTGTTCCCATAACATTGTTTAATTTCAATAATCTCTCATATGCAATTATTTAACTGCCAACCTCAATCGAATCAAGTCACATTACTTTCTTAATAGTCACCCTACTAATTTAAAGCAATAATCATCCACCTTATATCAGCTGACCTTGCTGATCTCTCTGATCAGCCAATTCATTTTAACACCCAATCTGTCTCTCTGTCTTAAATGTTTTCTATCTACCAAGTAATGATACCAAGTGTGAGATGTAATAGGCAATTTATGAGCCTAAATATCAAGATTTGACCCCGTGACATACCGATTTTAGAGGGGTAAGCAAGGGTTTTTTTTTAATGAAGATCTGTAATGAAAATCATAATACCAAAACATTCATAAAATTTCACGGAGAACATTTAAAAAAGTAAGATAAAAACAAACATAACAAATACCAACATGGAAACAAAACCATAATTCAAAACGCAAATTCCATAAACCTAGAGCAAAGTATGAACAAAAGAAAGATTTACACGAAGATTCCTGAAAATATGTACGACATCGGTTTTGAACACTAAAAACTAATACTAAATACTATACTATACTAAATTGCGTACGTGACATTGTCGTGTCATGGATAGCATTTTAGCTACAAGGATATAAAGTGTTACTTTTGCAAACTCATGCTGACATCATAACTAAACCACAACTAGATATGCAGAAGCTACTTAAATCAATATTGTGTTCGCTTGTTGGTGTTTTTATGTTTTATAACAAAGCATACTGGTTAGTCCCTAAAAACAAATTATCAATTATTATGCGTATTAGACATTGCAGAATGAATGCGTGTGGTTTAGCATATTGTGTATTTCGACACTGATGATATGTTTCCCAAATAGCTTGAATTCATTCATAACATATTCTGATGTATTTTGCATTTCATTGTAATGTGGCAAGTTATTTATAATCAAACTAGGACGAGAATGTTCTCTCGGTTAATGTAAATAGAATTAGCATCAACACAACTAGCAAGTGCACATAGAATGTGAAATTGAATCGTGGAATAAGTTTTCTTGATATAGCCCATGTGCTATCAGTTCAACATTTGACTCCTCCTTGACTATGTTATTAATCTGAAACGATAAAAAACATACTTTGTCAACTCTCATCTACTAAATATCGTGATTCTAATGTTATTGATTGATTGATGGATTGACTGATTGATTCCCACCGACAAATGTCAGTATTCTGGCGATGTAAGCATCCTTGATAATCCAGGGGTTACGATCAGTTTCGCTCTCTGAATCCTGTAACATGTCACTGCAAATCTGAAGACACAGGTGAAGTAATTTGAATGGATCCAGGAGAAAAACCCAGACCAATCAAGGCCGATACGCTCCTTTTCATGATTACAATGGAGCTAAACCCAACTTCAAAACCATTACAATATACTGTTATGCGACCTCGTGATTCGTTTGATGTACATCAAAGGATCAAACAAGTCGTTTCGTTTTGTCTACAAGGTGTCGCTCACGTAACCTTCAATTTTGCCATAATGTATTATTCCAGAGGTGCAGAGAACGAAAGTTATTATTATTACAATCTTAACGGCCCGTCAACACATAAAAGGTCATAAGGGTCATCAACCGGTGAAAAGACACAGCCATCCAAAAAGGAAATATTCTATAATAAAGACCAAAATCTTTCAGATAACCTAGAATTTTATAAATCCGAACAGTTTCAAACTAAGGATCTTCAGACTTGTAACGTTGCGATAAAAAAATCTCGAGTGGACAGGTCAACGCCGTCCCATAAAAAATGTTTAACGGTGAATGGCTCATCACATAATATGCACCGAGAATTATTTTCACCTTTCAACATATATGAATGTGTAAGGTAAGTATGGCCTATCCGAAGACAGACAAGGACAACTTCGTCGCGGTGGTTGTCTCTATGGCATGGATGATAGGTTTTACAGAATGCAATTATCATCGGTATATTGATTCCATTCGTCCTGCCACTGAGCTATTAAAAATGTTTGATACATGGTTTAAAATCAGTAAAATGAAGTTTAAAAACAAGACGTGCTAGAAAGCTGCCTAAGCGACACGATCAACTTTTTCGTTGCCTGGTATTCCCATGTGTTCGTAATCCCTGGAGTATGGAGGATGCAGTAAGACGTACTCCATGACGGTTGTGTTTTTGAGATGCTTTAACCATTTGATCAATATTTACATTGGAAGTGCCGTTGATAAAACAAAAGGCGCTTACTCTTCTCCAACGCCTGGTATTCTATTTCAATCGTCTTAGTGTGAATCTTTCTTCAACCCGTTTTCAAAATTGCACAATTGTACAAGACACAGGTGAATATCACTTTCAATACAATTATAGAAGTAAAGAACACTTATAGAAGTAAGTATAACATTGAACAGGACAAAGATAAACAATTATAGCATTAATTACATTGTACGAGACACAGGTGAACAATAATAGCATTAAGTACAACATTGTACCAGACACAGGTGAACAATAATAGCATTAAGTACAGCATTGTACGAGACACAGGTGAACAATAATAGCATTAAGTACAACATTGTACCAGACACAGGTGAACAATAATAGCATTAAGTACAACTTTGTACCAGACACAGGTGAACAATAATAGCATTAAGTACAACATTGTACAAGACAAAGGTTTAATATCACTTTTAATACAGTTATAGAAGCAAGTAAAATATGACCAAATGGATAACATCCAGGATAATGTAACAATATTGGCCTTATAAGACTCTTCAGTTATGCTAGGAGAATATGGTTAAAATCAGACCAAATGGCCTTCACCATGTTCATGGTCTCCCACCACCTTTTTTAATGTTGTCGTTGTTTGTAACATATTGTTCAATTCATTTAACTAATCTAACTATTTTGTACAAGCAATGCAAATGTAACGTGTGCATAATATTAACTGCCATCCTACGTTAAGGATTCTAACAGAATCTGAATTAAAATAAATGACAAACTATGGGAAAAGTTTCCTAATCCAAAAGGGGAGCGAGGACCTTCACTCAGGACTTTAATAATTTTACATTCCGTCCATGAAAAGTGTCTGATTCTCCCGTGTCAAGTCTACCCCATTTGTCTCGCCGCTAGGTCAATGGGTGTTGAGACCATATAAATCACAATTTTGGTTCATCTTAAGTCATGACTGGGCTATACAAACTTTCATTGAAACCGGTCCTGTTGTTTTCCAGAAAAAGTTGAAAATATAACTTGCTTACGACAGAGGACGCAGGACCCGGCCAAAAGACTAGATTTTTGGACCTAACACTTCCTCATCTGATCTCCACCACATTAAAGTTTACTAGGACAAAAACGTGCTAATTTTCTCGTCTAGGAAACATGGCTTTGAATAATAAGTACCGCATGTTTCCAGAGCTAAACATCCGACACATAAACAGGTCTATAAATAAACCAGAACGTGATATTATAAAGTCACCCTAAGAATATACCAGAAAGTGCTAGAATCCAGTCTACGTAATATTTAAGTGTAGGTATAGACGTCTCCAAATCGGCATCCTCGATACTCCAGGGATTACATCACTTTCGCTCTGTGCACAACTGGAACATGGCATGTCAAAATTGAAGGCACAAGCAAGTAACTTTATTGGTTCCAGGAGAAAAAAAACGACTAAAATGATTCTACGTCTTGAGATTATGCCTCAACAAAGCCCAAGAGTTTTGCTCACTATATCTGATCTGCATTACCAAACATAAATGCATGACTGACTAAGGAAAACGGAAAATATCGGAAGATACTGTGCGCACGTGACACGTTAACAACTGCTGAAGCAGTTTCACCATGGGATTAGGCTACCAACGATAGAATTATTTTGAATAACTGACCAGGAAGAATGATTACAGGACTGAAAACACCAAGTGACTGGGGTTTTTTTAAATAAATAAAATCATGCACAGAATGGAGTGTTCAACATCAACCAAGTGTTTGTTTACCTTTTATATCCAGGAACCAAGCAGTTTCTCTTGTTTTGCTATGGTACATTCAAAAGGTGCCAAACATCAACAGTAACTTGAGTGTTTAGTAACCACTATATTTAATCCTTCTAGACTTGAGTATAACAAACGTCTTTTATCATATCAGTTTTATGAAAACCACCTTTTACTACATTGATCTAACGCATATCCAAACAACCATTTAAACAGCTTTTAGTCCTCTTAAATGCTAGCCATTTCTACACATCTTGTTTAAGGTGCAGTGAAAACAGACAAAACATAAAAAGCATTGAATGACAATTTTATTGATGCTATATATAATATGCCATATGACAATACTATTCAGAATGTGATTATCAGCATCTTGCATGACAACAATCCTGTCCCATTAATCCTTAGCTACTCTTTTCGAACAACCGGACAGTCTGTTATAGACAAAACGGGACTGATTGTAAGTGAAAACAAAACCGCTTGGTACTGTATAGTTATATTTTTCACAGGCGACTGAATTCTCTACATTAATCTATTATCACAGTTTGCACAAAATCTGATACAAAGTGAAATTTCTAACAATTGCGACAAATAATGCAATATTTGTCAGGGTTTTCTAAATTGTTTCATATACTGGCCTAAATGCCATGTGTATTAAATTTAACAGGACAACAATGCACAGAATTTATGGTCTATACATGAAATGTCCTGAAATGCCTTCTTGTACCAAGGCTAATCATTTCTTTCGAAAATAATGTAAATAAAACTTACATTTTGTAGATACAAAATTAAGACAGCAATTTCAGCACTTGTGTGATCAGCTTACATCTATCAAACAGATCCCATATCACAGCTCTTTTTGCTGAAGGGAAATTGTTTTCACCCCTAATAAATTATCTGCTTTATTAAGCCTTTAATTAGCTTTGTGTTCTGGATTTTAAGTTAAAATGTCAAAATTGTTCCACAGAAAAATGTCACTACTTAAGCCATGAAATTCAATAAATAAACAAAAAAATGAGCTTTTTTTATTTTCCAGATATGAATATTGATATTGTGAATTATATGAACTTGTTTCAATACAAACACTGCCCTTTCTGCCATTATCAATGTCAAGGATAAATATTTTCAATATTACTTCTAAAAAACTGATTACTGTGACAAGGAATTTCACAATCAATATTCATAATATTATTTTCATTGAGATAAAGATTAAGATATTCATTAAACTTATTGCTGATTTGCTGTTGCCAAATAAGAAAAGAAAATATTGAAGAAATACCAAGTATGGCACGACACAACACCAAATACAATACATCAAGAAGCAAGGGAAGAAGCAAAGGAAAGAAATATCAAACGTAAAACATCTTCACAGAGAAGTATTTCTAGACAACTCCTCAGAATGGAAACTTGCATGAGCTTCCATTCAATTTTAACATAATTCAATACATAGAGATTCATAAATACTAAAGCTAGCAGGAATGTACCACACATCAACTGCAAAACAAATAAATCGGTTACCGTAATTTCCTGTATGAATTTCTTAGGTATAATATACCTAATATACCTACTGTTAGCCATCCAACATTTATCTCGGTGCACAAACTAAACAATTAATCTTGTTGGGCTTATCATGAATTCTTTGAAACATCCAGAACCAATTGCAAGACTACCAAAATTGTACTGTCGAGTAATTAAGGGGGAGACAACCAAGACTGATTATGAATGAACAAGATATATGAATGAGGTTGACTATCTTGTATATAAAAAAACTCTTCAAATAATTCATTTGGGAGATGAGTTGGGTACAAAGTAGATTTAAATATTCTAAACCAGGTGTACTGTTATATACACAAACCTACTGAAAAGCAATGATTGAAAATAATTTCCCATTCACCAGAGTTGACTTAAAATTAAGTACAGAAAAAATTCTGTAATATTTGGCATTGTTCCTTTACATTTATTTGTATTTATCAGTATCACATTTTCAAGAGATTGTTCTTGCAGATATTCTCTCAAAATATATCAATACAAAGTGATTTCCATCTTAAAGTTATAAAGATGTCAGTTTTAACAATACAAGAATGAATGTTGGAACTTACTTGGCAGCAACAGGACAAGGTTCTAAAATGTTTGTAGACTTCTACAAATATTATGCCGCCATTTGATTTGTATGCATTTTTTATGCAAACACTGGGATCATAAATTTGTGGTATTCTGCACTCATTAATATTCAAAACAGGACTACAGTGACTGCTAAAATATTAAAAGCTAGCATTCAAACTATTTATGGCCAAAAATGTCTGATGTGTAACCAATTTGAAAAGACAGTAGGATACACAAGTTCAATATTTCAGTATAAAACAAATTTACAGTAATTCAAATTGTTAAATGATTTGCTATGTTTTCCCATATCCAATAATGCAAACCTTTTTTCCAATATTTTAAGAAAAACTGTTGCAAAAAAAATGTACACTCCTAAGCCTTGGCAGTCTGGAATGACAGTAAATATCACACAACTGAAACAATGGTATTTTTCGTGATCAGAAGTTTTCAAAGCTTTGCTATTAGCCAGATTACAATAATCAAGAGATTACCAACACCACTTGGTAGACAGTATACAGACAGTAACATAATATTTAACAACATAGAAACAATCTACAAATCCAATAACAAAACAATCCTGCAACACGTAACAAAAATGGTATCATCCTCCATGTACAGAACATTCTTCCTTTAGGACACAAAATCTCAATTAGTCTTTAAGCACAACACAAGGGAGAAAATTTACGTAGATTTATAATAGGAAGCATCAGCAACCAAATTTAGTACATGTGAAGTAATGTTCTCTAAACTTTTACATCACTTCATACATTCTCGAAACTGAAGATACTGGACTGGGTTGAATTACAAATTGTTGTTCACTTAATATACAATTTACAAATTCAAAAAGTAACTATTAAAAGTGAACCACTAATTGCAAAATAAGAATTTATAGAATAATTATGAATAAAAGACCTGAAAGTTCCTTATATATTCCATATGATGCAACATTTATCTATACTTTATAATTAAACTTTCATTAACATAACAATGCTGGCTTCTCTAGACTTCTATCTGCTTCTAATCTCATGATTATCTCCTACACAAAGTGAAGAACTCCCTTTGGGATAATCTGGCTTTCATTTTGATTTCCTGAGTTCTATATTTCCAAATCTAGTACAATTTCCTTAAACCACATAAGATGTGGTTGGATGTTTCATAATTTTACAGTTTAAACTAATAAAACCTTCAGTTCTGTTGATACTCAGGTGTCCTTGCAAGTTATGATACATATAAGCTATATAACTTTCAGTACAATTCTGAAATTGATCACATCTAATTCTCAAAAAAGAATGCCTGTTCAATAGCATTGATACCTTTATCTATTACAAACATTTCATTAGAATATTTATGTCCTTTGCTTTATAGCTAAATCTTTCAACAGGTAGGAAAACTTGGCCTGGCTTAAGAAACTCATTCACAACACATAAATATCATATTGCATTCAATTTCTGTTTCTAGCAGTTCTCACACGAAATCTTCAAGCAAAATGTGGAAAGCATCGCTGGATTCAATCCTTTCCAAACATGTACTAGAAAACAGTATGCACAGTAGGGATAGTAACTTTGTCACCAATCACGCAGGTGTTTTATCCTTGGTCTTGGGCACTCATGATCTCTGAACACAGAACACAAACTTCTAATAGAAATTTGTGAGTCAAATGTTTGCTGAAAAAACACGAATGGAGATCAACTTCAGTTGTGCAGTATTTAAAGATGCTTGTAACAGCTTCCAGGAAGCACCTCCAAAAATGCTTGATATCTGCCAAAATATGAACAAGTTGGGGGCAAGTCCAAAATAGCTGACAGCAGAATTGCAGATTTGGCATTAGCTTTAATGATATCTCCACTACTGTGTATATATGTCCATAAAGGCAGGGATTGTCCTCAGCTCTGGGCAGCGTTGAGAGCATCTGATAGAGCTTGTTGCTGGTCCTGTGTCAGGAGTGGCACACACACCTGGAACAACTCCTGGTTACTCTGAAACATAACATACAATTGTTATCCTACAAGTTCAAAAAGACTAGGACAGACTAAGACTGATTAAAAATGATCTCCAGATATCAAAAAACATTATATACAGTAATCTGTATATATTGTTGAAACAAATTTGTAAGATAACTATATTACATGGGTGCACTCGGTGACTTTTAGCATCACATTACTAACACACAACACCTGTGCTTGTCTACTACACAAGACACATACCTATAATTGTCTCTCAAATGGAACACATACCTGTACTTGTTGACTACACAGATCATACACCTGTACTTGTCTCTCACACAGCAAACATTCCTGTACTTGTCTCTCACACAGCAAACGTACCTGTACTTGTCTCTCGCACAGCAAACGTACCTGTACTGGTCTCTCGCACATGAACGTACCTGTACTGGTCTCTCACACAGCAAACGTACCTGTACTTGTCTCTCACACAGCCAACGTACCTGTCCTGGTCTCTCGCACAGCAAACATACCTGTACTTGTCTCTCACACAGCAAACATACCTGTACTTGTCTCTCACACAGCAAACATACCTGTACTTGTCTCTCACACAGCAAACATACCTGTACTTGTCTCTCACACAGCAAACATACCTGTACTTTTCTCTCACATAGCAAACATACCTGTACTTGTCTTTCACACAGCAAACGTACCCGTACTGGTCTCTCACACAGCAAACATACCTGTACTTGTCTCTCACGCAGCAAACATACCTGTACTTGTCTCTCACGCAGCAAACATACCTGTACTTGTCTCTCACACAGCAAACATACCTGTACTTATCTCTCACGCAGCAAACATACCTGTACTTGTCTCTCACACAGCAAACATACCTGTACTTGTCTCTCACACAGCAAACATACCTGTACTTGTCTCTCACACAGCAAGCGTACCTGTACTTGTCTCTCACACAGCAAACGTACCTGTACTTGTCTCTCACACAGCAAACATACCTGTACTTGTCTCCCACACAGCAAACATACCTGTACTTGTCTCTCACACAGCAAACGTACCTGTACTTGTCTCTCACACAGCAAACATACCTGTACTTGTCTCTCACACAGCAAGCGTACCTGTACTTGTCTCTCACACAGCAAACATACCTGTACTTGTCTCTCACACAGCAAACGTACCTGTACTTGTCTCTCACACAGCAAACGTACCTGTACTTGTCTCTCACACAGCAAACATACCTGTAGTTGTCTCTCACACAGCAAACATACCTGTACTTGTCTCTCACACAGCAAACATACCTGTACTTGTCGGACAATGTTAAGAAGTCTCTGGAAGACCTCATCATCTGAAGACACAGCCTCTTTGTGTAGTGCTTCACCAATAATACAAATAATCTGTGGTAGATTTTTGTTGTTCTCCCCCAGTATAACAGGATGGTTTCTGTTGAAAAGAATACACAGTCTTACTTCTAAAGTTACAAAACTTACAAATAGTCCTGAGTTGTAAATGTTGTAAAGATCCATTTTCTTATATAAAACATGAATTTCTCATCAAAATTCTGTTATACAAAACACTTGTCTACAGTGCCAGGAACGTGGATAAGCAACTCTGAAGCTTCTTGGTATTCCTGGGTAGGGAGCATCGAACCATATGGTTTCATTAGATTATATACATAACAAACATTATTGAGGAGTCCTAGAAGGACAAAACAGTTGTATGGTGTAGTTCAAATTATTGTTTGGCTCTACTGTATCACATGCATGTCTTCTGTTTCCATTTCAAGATTGCATGACCAGTCAATTTCATGACATAATTTAAAACATTAGACAGTAATCTTACATTTCTATCAGATCACAGAGGTAGCCATATATATGGACAGCCTCGTCTTCATCTTCCCAAACAGGTAACCATGTCAGCCAAAATCCTAAAACCTCGTTAATGTTGATTCTGGATGAATTGTATTTGCAGATCTTGGTGACAGCAGAGATGGCATTTTCTGTTGGGTTCACGTTTTCTACAGCTCGTGAATCAGGATCTTGTATCATCTTCAGTAGTAAAGGTAAGGCCTCTACAATTAAAAGTAAATGTTGTGATTGGTAACGATCAGGAATATAATTTTCTTTGTTCAGGAATATAATTTTCTTTCGTTGAAATTCTGTGGTGAAAAGAGAATAATTCATAAAAATTAGTTCATAGCTATGATGTAGTCCGTGCATTTCCATTTATATGAATCTAATAATTGCAGAAAGATTCATTTCTTTTCAGTTCAGTTTGTGATAATCCTTCCACCAATATAAGTAAATTGAAAAAGTACTTAATACTTCAACTGACCTGCACAGGCTTGTGCATACACATTCCCCCCAAACTGTGCCATGACTCCAACGCCGTACGCTGCAGCCTGACGAACCTCAGCACTCTTTTCAGTCAGATATGTCATCATATTTTGTAGGAAATATTCCTGATATTTCACCGAATGCTGTGAAAGAAACAACTTTAAACTTAAAACCAAAAAGCCTACCATGCATATCAAATCAAAATATGATTTCTATCTTGCCAAAACTTTTAATTTTAATTTAGTAATTTACCTCTGAGTTAAAGGGAACTGAAGTCTATATATCTCTTTTTTTTAAACAAGAAACATATGTCATTAAAACTGAACCATTATATATCTAAACTTTCAAATTCAAATATACCGAGTGATATCTTCATGTACTTAGTTTAGGTGCTATAAAATCTTGGTAAATTATTACTTTTTAGCAAATTATTGCAATGATGAATTTTCTGTGCACCTAAAATATTGCTATGTAACAACATGCATTAACTGCAACTAGCATAACCATATTTTAGCACAATACTTTTGACAAAGAGAATAATAAAAATGAGATCTCAGAGGGATCTTGGTGCCCACACTTGATTGCTCTTTGAAAGCTCAACTATTCCCTTCTTTTCTCTTCTCTGTTTTGCTCATAATGATTAGAAATTTGGACATTCCTTTGCAGAAACAGCAATGATAATCTTTACTTGCCAAATCCAAAATGCTTGCCTGGAAGCCATTTTGCTTCTTCTGATCAGTCCCAAAATCCAACAGGCACAAGTAGAGACCAAACAGAACTTACAATGGAAATGTAAGAGAGATTCATTCTGTATTTTTCAAGAAATAGCGATAACAAACTATTAAAGTCGAAACCTGAGACGGCCGTCTATAGGCAAGTTTGTTTTTCTGATCAGTCTCAAAATCTTATGGACACAACTAAGGACCAAGGGGAACCTATATATGAAATTTGAGAAAGATCCATCCAGTACTTCTCAAGAAATAGCGATAACAAAAATTGTTTACGGACGGAAGGACAGAAGGACAGACGGACAACAGACCACAGATATAGGGCAACTTGAATAGCCCACCATCTGATGATGTTGGTGGGCTAGAAAACACTACAATGTTATTGCTAAATATACATATAAACATCTATAGTATACAGTTTTGTGTTCTTACCGCCCCGCAATGTTCAATGACATCATCCCAGATACACAAGCCCCACTGTTTGTCCGGCCATGGTCGCTCTGCCCCCTGTAATAAAATACATGGCGGTGATCTTTTAAGTCAGAAATAAACAGTTGGATTTCTCAAAGATTAATTAGTTAAACAATATTTTTTTCCCTGTCTACAGTGGACTGAACCAGTATTAAACTGACAAATATAACTTTTACCATAATGAGTAATGACCTGAGCAAAAGCAGTATAAGGGTAAGTAAACTTCTGCAGGTATTTTAATGTTTTGTAAGTATCCTCTAATACACATTCGTCACAAAATTTTTCTGCTAATGACAGTCTTCCCTAAAACAATGGGAAAACAACTCATTGTTTTCAGGAAAGCTCTTAAATAAATGAAATAAATAACTTACCAGTAGTCGGACAAAGTAGCCCATCAGCTGTTCAAAGATGGGAAGGAATTCCTCTTTGTGTGTGCCAAATAGGGCATGAATGATATCAGCAATCTTACTTAGGATGTACACATCTTCGTCATCCTATACAGGCAAAAAAATCATCAAATGATTATAGTCAAATATGTCGTATGTGACCTCTGAAGGGAGGCAATAACTAAGATCACGTATGACAGGTGGTCTTGTAATGCAGTTTCAGTAAAAAACATTGACAAAAAGAATCAATCTTACAAGTCTCACTGTCATCCAATTATAACAATCTTCTCTTTATAGATTTTGTTAGTGCTATCAAATTTTAGCAGGATATCAATTCTGAACACATAAGCACAAAGATGAATTTGTGTACTTGCTTCAGTAAATTAACAACATACAGAAACTGCAAAAAGCATGATGTGTTTAGTACAAAAACCCCAAGATAGCCTGCCAAATATGTACAATTTACCATTCATTGAGAGCAAAACACTTCTGGTAGCTTTAGATGCTTTAAACATGGTCAGTGGAATTAAATCTAATTATCATTTTTTCAAAAACAAACCTCATCCATAAGTTCATCTTCCACATCTTCATCATAATCTTCATCACCTCTTTTAGCTACAATCATTCAATGTAAAATGTTTAATATCAGTTCCAAATTATCTGTAATGATGTAAATCTAATTCTCATCATCACTATTCAAAAATATTCGAGACTTTTAACAAACCTGAGAATGATAGAAATACAAGTAAAATTCATCATAACAGATGTGAACCAGATGTTACATGTGAAATAGTGACAGATATATTGGTATAGTTTTTTCTTAGATTACATTTGGACACAAAATGTTGACAAAGTAGAGGAAAAAAACAAGATGTCACCACAACTTTTGAGTCAGTCTAGAATCTGCAAACCATAACTTAATGTAGGATGCTTTACGAAAGATTGTGTTTTGGTCAATCTTACCTTGTCGCTCATCTTGTTTCTTGAAGTGTTCCTGTAATTGTTTATCTACAAGCTGTGTCAATAAATTAAGGTTTTCCATTGTTAAACATCCTTTTCCAAGTTTTTCGATGCACTGAAATAACAAAAAGAGTGCTTATGAACCTTTTTTTTTTAATATTTACAAAAACATTTACCATAAAATTAGAGACTAAATGTACTATTAACTTTCATAATACTTACTATACAATTAATGGTTAAATATACCATTAAAATGTTTATATATTACCATACCTTTAGTGACTTAATGTACTATTAACTTTATAATATTTACTATACAATTAGTGATAAAAAAAACCCCATTTCAATCATATTTCCCATACCTTTGGTGACTTAATGTACTATTAACTTTATAATATTTACTACATGATTAGCCGCTAAACATACTATTTACTTTTATGATATTTACTATACCTTTACTGACTTAATATACTATTAACATCATATTTAACATACAGTACACTATAATTAGTGTTGAATTGCATAAAAATGTGCAATTTGCCTCCGTTATTTATCTTAACTTCTACTCTTGTTTAAATATGTCTAACTCAACCAACGATTATCTGGAGATAAGAGATGGTATTTAGTACAGTATCATTGCCAGCGCAAATTTTTAAAGATTTTTTTTTATTCGATCCACATATCAGCCGGACTGGAATATAAGTTGTACCCTTTCTTATGATTAGGTAACCATTATGTTGACCAAAGTTTGTTTAGTTTTCAATACTTTTTTACAAATACACTGACATTTCACATACCTGAAGTTAAAGGTATTGATTAATGAGAAAAGGTTGCTTGAAGATTTCAATCTTTTCAATCCTTGTTACCTGAATATGGGTTAATGCATTTTCTTTTCAGAAAGTTTTTTCGCTTAAAGAGAAATGTTGAAGTGGGATGGGCCAGGTGAGCTAATGAGCAGAAACATTACCCTACTGAATATCTAACCAAAAAACACTGCAGATCATTTGACAAAATCATGAAAATATTATGTTTCTCTGCTCTGACCATGTCACTCCTGTGTAACTATGTTTTTGGTTGCATACACAAGTCATATGTATGTTTAAATATATTCCTGATACCTTTGCCAGCGAGTTCATGTGTTCAGGCAGCACAGACTGTTCTGGTTCAATCTCAATGGCCTTCAGCAAGTGTGGACAAATGTATTGCCACATCTCTGCTACATACTGTTCACCACGAATCTTGGCACAGTCTATTAGAAATGGTAGGCTTTCTGATGCTGCTATTCGTATATCTGTATAACAAATATTTAAGATTATTTAAAAAGATGCAAACACATAAAAACATATTGCTACTATGCAGGAAAAAGTAACTGTCATTTAATTAAACATAATATTTCAACGGCCATGACAATGCCAAAACTGTTGACATATACCGAGATCAGAAGCAGACTGGGAGAGTTTTAGACTGTCCAATATATATCTGTATACCATACTTAGTGAAAACATCTGTCAATTATGAAAGATCATCAATAATTAAAAAAGATTTTTGAATTACACTTGCAATCAACCCAAGGTTTTCCATAAGAGCCGGTCGCCGGCCAATTTGACCGGCTACTTTGATCATTTGGCCGCCTACACCAATCCAGTTCCGTAATAATGTTCCGTACATGACTACACATACACAGCAGGCCAGCCTCTTACTTACACTACACAGCCTACTACTAAAAAAATTATGGAAAACCCTGCAACCATAACTTAAGATTGGAAACAATTTGTGTATACAGATAATAACAGTAACAAGACAAATGGAGGAACAAAAAAACACCTACTTTCTCAGAATATAGGGTGAAAACATTTGCCAACAAATTTTGATATCTGAAAAATATGTCCTGCCATCATCTTTCTACCATAAAAACCCACGTAATGTCAGTAGTTTTTTTTTGGAGAAAGTAAATAATCAAAGTTGTGGGGTGCACACATTACGTAGCTTTGGGATTTTCAAGGGTTTTTTTCCCCCCAAGGAAAAATCGAAATAAGCATTGACACATTAGTATGCTGTGTGTGGATTGGGACTGATCATTTGACTATGGATTCATTTAATTATTTATTAATATTATCATACATCGTCTAATGATAAAGAGGGATGAGTCTTTGCACAATTATCATACCAAAGTGTGTAATGAAATGCTGTTCATCTGATGAAAATACACATATGCATGTCTACCATACATTTCATGAGATTCTATTCCATGCTCCATATACCAAATAATAAATAATTTCAAGTTTTGGACTTCGGAAATTTTTTGTACCATTTTCGGCATCAAAAAGCACCTGCATACATTATGTTGGTTTTTGTAGTAATCCTTAGCTAATCAATAACAAGATTGATTAACCTATTGATTTCACTTTACAATAATAGATGAAAACTGACGTAAAGTGTCATAATACCATGATTATACCATGCCTGGTACCAAAGTTACCCACATTTTTTTCCTTTTTTAACAGTTTTATCAAAATTCAAACAATTATATGTACTTTTTCATTTTTTCTACAATAAGACAATCCCATACTTTGAGATGAGGTTATGTGATGGGTCACTGGATTTATCACAAACAAATTAGGATAACTGCACAGAAACTGGTAAAACAATCAGTAACAATTCTGACAAGCACATCCTCCACTTAATGAATCAAACTTACCATCATGAAAATAAAATTTAAGTAGAGGCACCATAATTTTGACAACTTGTTCTGCATACTCGGCGAAGGCTTCTTTGAGCTCTCTTGCATAACATACTAACATCTGGCAAGCAGTGGCTTTTTCCTCTAGTCCTGCTGTACGTATACCAAAACTTTGCTGAAAAAAATACAGATGCGTATCTACTTATTCCTGTTATATGACTACTAAAACATTGCAATATCTTCAATGTAAGAAATATCATCTACTTTTTTTCTGTTTTATAATGATTAAAACAGTGCAATATCTTCAAATATAAAAACATATTAAGTATAGAAGTTTCTTCTTACCTGGTCACCGACAGTGACAAATTGCCAGTCCTGATCATTGTACATTTCTTTCATCTCTTCACCTGAAGGAAAAAAACAACTTATATCCATATCTGTACATATAAATACACATAAAATTTTAAAGAAAAATCAACACAAAATTTCCATACTCAAGGTTAAATCAAAGTGATACAAAAATCTCCAATAATAAATTTTAGCATGGACATAATCATCTATATTGTTAATGCATCAAATAGTAGATGTCCATGAAATGCACATAACACAAGTCCATATTTTCTTTTGAAACCCAGATGTGACACAACAGTGAACTCTCAAGGACCTCATTCAAAAAAGTGGTATAAATACAAGCTTTGAAAGAAGGAAAGGCAGTGCATTCAATTAAAGCAATTCCATATGGATGATATCACCAAACTTACTTTCTAGGAGTGCAACTTCTGGCTTCAAGGATGCTGCTTTGAGAACTGGACCAATGACTAGAGGCAGATACTGCTGGAATTCTTTTCCCAAAATTTTACACATCCTTGCCCATGCAGAAATCATGTAAGAAATCTGGAATTGAAAAAGTATTTAATTCTAAAATATACAGTATGAACAAAAAAGTAATCACTTATTACAGCAAAGTATCTGGACATCAAAAATCACACATGTGAAGCGAGGATTCATTCAGTTTATACTAATTTTAACAGGACTTGGTGAGTTGATACTTTGGGACACGATCAATGAGATTTACTTAGCAGCAACTTAAATGTATCAGTAAAATTTATGAATTCCATATTTATTACATAAAGACAGTGCTCTGATACTTTTTGCAAAGTTCACTTTAACAACATTGATGGCCTGAATAACATAACACAAAATATAAACCCAATGACTCTGCTACCTTTCTGATACGTAAGATCACAGGCTATTCGAATATGACAGAAATCTATTCATCAACTACATATCTTTAATATTTCCCTTCTACATCAATTTTTTAATCTCATAATTACCACTGATGATTTTCAAATTATTAACATATACATGACATCACCAAAATTTGTTATACAGTAAAACTGTTCCACATAGAGACTTACTTTGTGAGACGGTCTTTAAATATTGTAAATCAATAGCAAATTTGACTTTAAAATTGTATAGAAAACCTCTTGTTTTACTAATCAACTGGGAGATATATTAGAGTGCACAACTGGAGTATACTCAGAGATACATGAAGTAAAATATAGAAATCATTACCTGTGGGTCATCGTCAGCCAGATCTTCTTGTTCTGTCTGTGACTTCAGCAACAACTGCATCACCTCACTGCAGTCTTGAAGGAACTACAACAAGATATAATGTTATCAACACATGTACCTGTTCTATACATTTAAATATCTGGTTTTCATTTTGTGAGTGACCTTGACCCCAAGAAATACAAATACAGAATAATATCAAACCAGGCCTTTGTATCAGGTTTGTTTTGCTTGGGTGGGGATGGAACATATTTCAGTGATAACACTTTAGTGGTTACAATTCACATACCGTAAATTTGCGGGTATATTGCGCAAGTAGGTTTTTGGGTCAGATTAAAAAAAAAAAAATAGTGTATATATTCAAAATAATTATTGATTACTGCGGTGGAAAGCACAATGAGTGTGACCCTCACACATTTAATTATCTTATGTAAAAAAATTTATGCAGGTGCCCGACTTATCAAGAATTATAATATAAGGGAAATGAAAATTGTGTGTCATCCACACATGAGAAAGGAAGACTTGTAATTCTTACCTTTTCTTTGCCGACAGCAAGGCCTATCAAACTTATACACTCAATTGTCTTCCCTCGGAGAAGTCGCAGCTCTGTCTGGTTGGCTTGCTGTACTATGTACTTCAACGATGGCATAAATCTGTTGGGAAAACAAATGGCAAGTTATCAATAGAGCCACATTTCAAAACAATGCATGAATATTTACTTAATTTTACTTCCTTAAATGGATAAGAGTTTTTTGTTTCCTTCAAATACAGCAAACAAATCTTCTGGCTTTTATCAGCTTATGTCCTCTGAGTAACACACCAACATATTTTGTTTAAACTAAATGTCTCAACAGAAATTTAGATAGGAAAAATGTTTAAAATGCTACAGAGATATAAATTTTTTTTCCTTAAAAATCATTTATACATGTACATAGATGCCCTAGATTTTTAAAGTTCAGTGGGGTAAATCCAGTACTTCTTCAGAAATATCAAACACAAAATTGTGTAAGGACAGATGAAGTATTAGTCAGGAATAGCAGTATGAACTGCCACCATCTCACAATGGCAATATAAAATAGCTGAATACATTTTTTTTATCTAAAATAAAATTGAATAAACCACATGTGAAAAAAGAGTTTCTGTGCCTCATCCAGTTTAATGACATTTGCTTATGACAGATCCAGTCAAATACAAAACAATAGTGGCATAGCTTTAAAGAGTTTTTCTCGTTTGAGAATATTTATAGAAAGTTCTTAATTTCCCGCAATGGACGTGAAAATGTATGGGGCCACCTGCCCGGTCATGTGGGTTTCCCTCAAGATACTCGATTTTCCGTCCACAGTAAGATCTTTTGCATGCTTATATCCGGGCCAACAAGAGTGATTTATATCAGCCGACAGCTTGTTTTGCAATTGTTGTAAAATAAATAAAGTTTATATTTTATTACCCTTGATGTTAACTTCATTATCAAGTTGTGACAGAATTTATTTCTATTTGTTAGCTTTCATATATATTGACTCTAGATCCCTCATCCTTTCTAAGAACTATTTTGTCAAAGGACTAATAACAAGTTTGTGATGAACACATAGTTATATATTGCTAAATTTTTAATTCCTCATTTTGGGGTCAGATACTATCTAGCAATGAAGTGTAATCATAAGATTTCACATCTTCATATTTGCAAATTACATCACTCCCCAAAATCAGTACTTCAAAAACTTCAGAACTGGATTTACCAGGTTCATACTGGAAGATGTAATGATGTTACAATCTGATTACCAATTTCATTACAAAGGTTAAAACATCTTAAATATGTGTGGGACAAGCCTTTGTCAACTTAAAACTCCTGTTGCCCAACAAAAAGCAATAATAATCAGCGTTTTGCAATCTGTGCAGCAGGGACTCAAAATTTTCAGTATGTAACTGAATTTTATAAACCATAATACCGTTCGTAGGAAACAAAATCATGCGGCTGCAAAATTAATAGCTATGAAAGGAATTCGCCTCAGTGTTTATTATTGTACAGCATAACACTTTAAATCTGATGTTTTTAAAATAGAAATGGGGTCAGATACTATCTAGCAATGAAATGTCATCACCAAGATGCACCTTCATATTTGCAAGTTACATCATTCCCCAACTTAAAAGATGATATGTACCTTTAATTCAAAGATATACATCAGTTTATTGAAATTTTGAGCTTCTTCACCTAAATGATGTAATATTACATGCACTATTTTTCAGTTATGCATTTAAACCATATCTCTAGTACCATTTAGTACAGGTATATTTAGTGTATGATAGCAGAATATTGAAAGAGTACATACCTTCAGACTACAACACATGGACAATGCAATGTTACATTGGCTGTGAATTTTTGTAATCCAGAGAGACTGACTCATTAAAGTCTAATTTAGTTTGATAAAAATCCTTGAAAAGATAGTCAACAGTGTGATATCACTGAATGAGTAAATATGTTTCTATGACCAGTGACCTTGAAATCTTGAAACACAAATTCTTGACCTTTGGGAATTACATTTTTATCCAAATTCTCCCGAGAAACTATGTGGCTAAACAACAAGATATATTCAGAATGGAAATAAGGACCTAGATGACATATATAGTTGTACTATACCCAAATATTTAACTTTTCTCAAATTATAAAGTACCTTTCGTTTAAACTGTAAAGGGAGGAAGATTGATGATGTTTCCATATGATAGCAGAATATAGTAATACAAATATTTCATCATTTCTAATTGGGGTCAGATACTATCTAGCAATAAGGTGTCATCATAAAGGTACACCTTCATATTTGCAGTAAACATCATTCCCCTGCAAGTGAGTTGTTATGTAATGTATATAGATTGATATCATATTTGATTGAAAATTGATTATTCAACTTTCAGCAAAATCAATGAACACCCTTTTTTATGATTATTTATAATGCCCTTCAATTCATATGCCACCAGACTTAATAACAAAATGGTCATGGTCCCTTTTCTGCGTCAGAATGTCTCAATAACAGTATGTGTAAAGTTCCCTGTATATTACCAGACCTCAAAATTTTCCCACTCTCTCTCTGTTTGAATTTCAAGATGTTTTCATCAGAAAAGTCTGTATGTACAAACCCCTTATACTGTGTACTGTGCAACATTACAAAACATCTGCTGTAACTGTTTATATTTCAGTATATTCATTGCAGTACAGTTTATCATAGTAAATACTTTACACACTCATGAACATATAGAAAAATGAGATCATTTTGACATCCACTGTAAGCTTACCTTTAGCCTAGATGTATGAAATCATTTATATTTTGCCACAATATCATTTGTGGCCCTTTAAAGAATTAACAGGCAGCTCATTATTCATGGGACTGAGATTCATGATGTTTCCATATGATAGCAGAATATAGTAATACAAATATTTTATCATTGCAAACTAACGGATTTTTAATTGGGGTCAGATACTATCTAGCAATAAGGTATCATCATAAAGGTACACCTTCATATTTGCAGTAAACATCATTCCCCTGCAAGCATACATTATCTGGTGAGCTGTTTCATAATGTATTTAAATCAATATCATATTTGACTGAAAATTTATTAATCAGCTTTCAGCAAAATCAATGAATACCCTTATTTATGATTATTTATAATGCCCTTCAATTCGTATGCCACCAGACTTAATAACAAAATGGTTATGGTCCCTTTTCTGCTTCAGAATATCTTTATAACAATATGTGTAAAACTTCCCTGCAGATTACCAGACCTCAAAATTTTCCCACTTTCTCTCTCTTTGAATCTCGAGATATTTTCATCAAACAAGTCTGTATGTACAAACCCCTTATTGTGCAACATTACAAAAAGAATTATCAAACAGCTCATTTTCATGAAGCTGAGCTGTATAGAATATTTTCTTACCTGTCATAATACTGTTCAAACTTTTCTTCAGCAGTGTCAGCCACAGACGCCAGCGTCGTGACAACTTGTTCTAAAACCATTTTTGTTCCTTTCTCCATTAACTGTAATGGGAAACATGAACAAATAACCAGTCATTTATTGTTCTTATTGATTAAAGTACTGATGACCTATAAAAACCCAGGGATCAATTATCTTACATATTCCAAAATAATCTGTGGACCTTGTTATCCAAATTAATGGCAAATGTCACATTCCACGTAAGAAACACTAAGAAATTGAAATTTTTCCCTCCTTCACTCAACATACCCACCTCTTTGAATTTGCTGACCAGAACTTGTTCCAACTTGAGTATGATCACATCCAGGTACTGAACAAGGATAGTTTTAGGGCAATCTTCGCTGAAATTTACCAAGGCTGCAGCGCCATGTGCCTGTACTCGAGGGTGGGCGTCATCATCCATAACCATCAGAAGGGAGGGTACAACCTAAAAATTTTCAATAAAATTACCAATTCTGATTGAGAATAAGTGATTTCCATAGTCCAATGTATCAAGTCAACAGTAAAACCAATCATTGCCTGAGGAGGTTTTTATAATAAACATACTCTGGAAATAAAAATTGACCAACTGAACTGAAATAGCTAGAACTGAACAAACAAATGAATAATCATCTCCCAGACTTGTTTCATGACACTTCTGCTAAAACTTGATGTTCTGCTTTTGGCACAAATGTCCGAATTTACACATGCTTAAAAATAACCATTCATAGTAACCTATTTCTGACAAGTTGTAGAATGCATACTATTCAACTTAATGATGTGTGATGCCTTTCTACAAAATTTTAAGATAAAAAAACATATTTTTCTTAAACAATCATGTTCTCTCATAATAAAGCAGAAAGTTCCGATTCATATGCCATTCATAATATACATAGTATGGTTCAAAGGCTTACCTTTTCATGAAACTTTTTCTGTAAAATCGGACCAAAATCTGTTGAGATTTGTCCTATGGCATTACATGCAGCATACCGGACTCGTGGATGCTAGGAAAAACAAACAAGAATATCAAGGGAATAAAGCTTTTGATCAAACCAGAACTGACACTAAACAGGTAATTCCGTTGTCATAAAAAGTGATCTTTTAATTTAATCATAAGTAATTAATCCTTCAATTATAACTTTGTTATGAATTAGAAAACTTCCTTAATCAAAGTTCCATGAGACACTTTTGGGCTATTTCCCAAAAAGACTCCATGCTAAAATGAAATAAATTATCAATATTTACAGATGAAATCACACTCTGTTTCAAATTTGAATCAGCACAAATGGCAACTTCAAGAAGTTTACTTAAAATTTAGTATTTATATTTTAAGTCCAAACTCCATGCAAAAATGTGTTTTCAGGTCAATTTGACCACAGGATATGAGAGCTGGTTTCTTGTAGGACAATTTCTGGTGGCAGATCTGTGTACTTACCGGATCCTTGAGAAATGGTAAGATGGCCTCTACAACATTGCCTAACATAATCTCCATCTGTTGGTGACATCCCTCCCCACAGGCAGATATAGCCATTAAAGCAGCATGTCGGTACCGCCAGTCATCTACAAATTCAAAATTAAATCAATTTAATTTCATTCAATCTACTACAATTTAGATACCAAATTCTCAGTTAAAAATCACTTTAAAAAGTATTTTTGAATATAACTGTTTGGAAATATGTTTTTAATGATTGTAGCCACAAAAGACACAAGACCAACAAGAATCAAGAAAATATCAGTAATAAGCTCATAATGAACATTTTCAATTCAAATCATTAGATGTTTATGGACAATGGACAGCACTGGGTCGACTAAAGTGACCTTCTAATTCTTAAAATGTATTACTTCTATGTTTTTGGCTTGAAAGGACAGTTTGACAAATGTATTGAGAAAACATACTGTTCTGCAACATCTGTGGAATATTCGCAAGAATGTGGGGCAGAGTTGTCTTCCCTCCAAGAGCACAGGCAAGACGGTCTAATGCACTCTCTGCAGAGATGGCATTGCTGTGGGGAAAACAAACATTTGCTTCTGATTTCAATTTCATAGACTTTGAGATTTCAACATCTGATACCTCTAGCACTGTTGCAAAGTGCTGGAAAGGGTGGAACTGCAATATGATACAGCTGCATTAATCATCATTATGTATACAAAAGAAATTATGACAATAATTTACCTTTCAGTATCTTCTTCTTCGGGTTCATCTTGTAAAGCCCAGTCAGCTTCTTCCTCCAAATCGACCATCAAAGCCAGAATCTGGGGCACTGCAATATCAAACAAAACTTTCTTTAACACACTTAGTTAAACATTAGTCCAGGTGGGTTGCCAAAGAAAACTTATAGCTCCAGTCACACAAACACAACCCACAGCAATGGATCATTCTGTGTAAGCACATGTCATTTCGCAGAAAAGTTATGAAAAATCTAAAAATTTACTTTCAGTAAAATCATGGTTGAATAGAAAAGGAGATTATTTTCATTTTAGTAACTTTTACTCCTGGTCATAGTCCGATAACAATAAAGCTCTCCTACAAAATGTAAATATTTCTTATACTCAACAAAATCATTTTTTTTTTCAATTGTAAAATTAAGTTTTTTTAAAGGTGCAGAAACTTTACTGTGTTGAACATGAATGACGTTGTGGTATAAAAATTTTGATGGCAATATCACAAGTATTTTCAATGATATCCTACAATATGTTTCCCATTGAAAAAGGAAACTTTTACATCAAGTAGGTAAATTAAAACTGAAATGTAAAATGCATCCAGTACATAAATCTTAATTGAAATACACAGTAAAATACTACAACAGTGACATAGCTAAACAAAAATTTGCAACTTATAAAAATGTGGTTGTGAAATAAATATGAGATTAGACACTTTCTAGCACTAACACATTTTTAATGGAGTTTGCAACATAAATCACACACAATCTCTTGATACAACTTGATGACATAATATCTCAAATCAGCAGACACATTCATTTCTTATAATTTTTTTTTGTACATGTGTGTGTGTGTGTTTTTAAAACAAGAATGATGTGTTCATCAGATGAGCCAGAAAAAACTCCTGATGAAGTCAACCAAAGAAACTTTTTGAAGTATAAAAATACCATCTGGAAACATTAAGCAGAAAATGGAGGTCACAGCAGCCTGTTTCTTAACCCGGAGTGGATTTCACCTGAAGGGGATTTTTTAAAGCGACCTTTGATGGCTATAGGACCTATATTCACCGAGATAAACAAAATGTTTAAATGCCATTGACAGGACTGGAGAAGAAAGCTCTTACTGATTCACTGCTATCTAACACCCTGTTCCGTGGAATTCATAACAGGAGGGCTGCAATTATGCAAGCGATATAAGGAATTTTAACTAATGAGGTGATGTTTGTTTGTTCTAAGAGTGTCTGGTCTCTTTAAAGTTAGTAAAACATACCAAGCAAGGACATAAACTTGCTGAACTTGCGAACCATAGCTGGGGCAGTTTCCGATAAGGTAACTATAGCTTCCATTCCGAGTTGTCTCCAAGAATCATCCAGGTTAGCATCAGACACAATCTGGAAACATACATGAAATATAGTATGTGATATTGTACCATCAAGATATCACTACCTTGTACAAGCTACTAAAGAAGTTTAGACAAAATTGAATGAACCGTCTGAAATTGGACCTCAACTGACCTTTGTCATCTTTAACACTTGATCTTAATTTGTGGCTTTTGTCAGCTTTTATTTTACAATTCCAATTTCTTTTTATTTTATCCACCAGATTAGTTACTTACCTTAAGACAGAATGGAATAATGTTATCCAGCTGACTGCGTAGGTACTTGGGGATAGTTTCTGCTAATTCAATCAAACACTTCAGCAAGCTGTCATCTTCTTGTGCATTGACACTGTCAACCATTGCCTGAATGAACAAATAGAATATTGAACATATCTTTTCATGTTAAAATTGTTATACAACTGATTGTATCATAATTTATGACACACCATCTGATCAGATCTGCGAGATTGTTAGTATAGTTATCATGTATACAGTCCAAACTTATTATCTTGAACTCAGCAGTATCATTGGAAAACTTGAGATAAACAAATATTTAATTTAGTTTGAATATTTTGTGTAAAGTTAGGCAAGAATTAACAAAATGCTTCAAATCAAACAGGGTCTTTGAGTTACAAGAGTTCGAGATAACTGGATTGAACTGTATATTTAAGATATATGCAGAATGTAATAAAACTTTGCTACAAAGGTGGCTGGAGTTTATATAACTTTCTTGAATTTTTCACCAAAACAACTTAAATAGTAATCTTGCAGATCAACACAAAAATTTTTAAAAATTCAAAACTGGAAATGCTACATTTACATTTAAAGCAGTTTGTTTGTCTGCTAGATTCATTGCCCTATGAATAGCCAGGGCCATTTTGAGCTAAGACCTCCTTGCAGTAACTGGTGGGTGCCTCTTAGAACAAGACATGGGAGGCATGTTATCCAGAACAATAAAAGTAAAGTGATTTTCCCAAGGACAAAAACACACCAGTACAATTCAATCGATTTCTCATCTTTCTGAGAAACACAAATCACTAAAGGAAGGGCGCCTAGCCAAGAACCTTGACCACCACCAGAGACTTTGCTGGTCAACCCCCTATTGACCGAGCTATCAAGGCCACTTAAAGCAGTTGACTTGTGTAACATCTACCAACTCTTATATTAAATGCAAACCAGCACCAAGCAAATCTTTTGTTTTCACCAGTTACACTAATGGAATGTCAGCTGATTCACATTGAGAGGTTATCAAGTTAACACTGCATGTATTGAGAATCAACTCTGTTACTATGTTATTTCTTAGAATTATCTACAACTTACAAATATTATTTCATTGTCCTTTCTTAAGCCCATTGTAAAAAGTCAGGTTAAGAGTTAGCTACCTGGGTTTTTTATAGAATAAAGTACAATTTGTAATAAATTTTCCCAAGACTCGATCATTATGTAATGGGGCAGCATTCCATCAATCACCTGTAAAATGGCAGGCAGCAAGTCTCTAAAGTGTGCCAAAATCGACTGTTGTTTATCATTGGCTACAAGAAATGCTGTAGTGGCCTTGACTGCCTCAAATCTAACTTGTGGATGGTCCGTGTCATTTAAATTAGCGTTCAACATCTGTTTGATCACATCCAGGTAGTGGTTCTGTTGATTACCAAATATACCAGGCACATTCCTAAAATCAGACACACATATCCATTTAAAATACTCATTACCAATATCTAATGTTACTTTGAAAATTCTGTACTCAATTTCTACATTTTACAACTCAAAACTTCCTTCGCAGATAAGTTAGTCTTTCAATCTTTCATAAATACTTTGAAATGATCAATTTCCATTGCTATTAAATCCATAAAATAGAAGTGTTCAGGTTGAAAATAAAGTTATCTGTTAATTGGTATCATGGATAAATTTTAACAAGTCATATGTTTACAAATATACCTCTCATTGCATCCTCTCTTTATATTAATGTCCGATATATTGCATGCATTACTTATAAAGTATAATTACATATCATGCAACACTGCAATAAAATTTTGTAATTCAAATTTACATAAAAATATTTGTCATCAAGACTCAATCAGCTTACGTAAAAATATGCAAGGCACTCTCTCGGAGTCCAGAATCTTCATGACTTGCACATTCAAAAAGAAACTTCAATATTTCTGGCCATGTCACATTTTCATCATCATCTGTAAACACAAAATCAAAGCTATCACAATGTAAGTGTTGATCCAAGAAATCCAGTTCATTACAATTTGAAAACTTTCATGAGTTACTGAGAAATGTAGCAGACCTGAGTGGTATTGAAAAAAAAATACACTTTAAAGTCTAAATTTCATAATAATTGAATTCAAACAACATCTTTGGGGACTCCTAAACCCATTTTGGTCTCACTGTAAAAGTGTTTTTAAATGACTCAAAACTATTGATGACCGATTATAAAATTTTACACTAACTGATGTGTATGCAAACTTTACTTTGATATATATAATTCCATCTTACACTGGCAGACAGTAAATTCTAAAACATCATAAATCCAAAAGAACAAACAGAAATCTATAATACAAAAAATCCTGATATAACACATTCTAACTAAAATACGTTTTTAATGTTTAAAAAAATACTAAACAGAAAAGCACTTTGATTTCTAATTCTATGGAAGATTTTCAACATTTTTTTCATACAATTTGATGAACCGGTAAACAGAGGATCAGTTTAATACATATCTTGACTTTTCCAATGTCAAAATAATGGTTATAAGCAAAATCACCAATCTGCTCTAAAAAAATAAACATGGACAAGTAAAATTTCTAAATATTTAAACCAAACAACTGCCATCATAACTATGGAAAGTGAATAAATACCGATCATATTTCTAGCGAGCTCTGCAGTAGCATCACAGACTTTCCGCCTGACAGGGGGAGTTAACTCTTCTCTAATGGCAATCATCATCTGTTCTTTAATTGTTGCCTTCATTTCATCTGATAAGCTGGGCCAGCATTCTTCAAAACTGCATGAAAACAGTCGCCGCAGCAGTACTGCAGACATTGTTCTGGTCTACAAAACAAGTTGAATTTTAATTAAATACTGTGGCAAATGTGTGACCAAGCAGTTACTTTTATCAAAGTCGTTAAAAAAAAACCACAAGTAAACAATTATTTCAGTAAACCAATTCAGTGTTTCATTTTTATATCCTCTTGCTATATTTTTAAAACATCACTATCTTAATATCTAATTTTTAGGCTGACATACCTCAATAGAGCCATTACTGTTCTTCATAGACTGTACCAAGAAAGGTATCTTTGTTGCTGCTGGAATCTTGTCATAATTTTCCTGCAATATAGTTAACAACAAGTATACAATTATTATAATTCAATATCTTAACAGATACAAATGAGTCAGTCTGACTTACTCTATAACTGAGTTTCAAACTATGAACTTACAAGTTCCAGACTATTATTTGGATGAAAAATTTTGACTCATTTCAGAGATTTCATGTCATACAAATGTTATAGCAGGGTAAACTTCATGCTAAAAGATATTTACCATTACATCCAACTTATCAATAATTAATTGATTATTCAAGCTCTTTTTTGCACTGCAGGTATAGGGTGCAACCCCTGGAATTGTGTCTGCTGTCTCCAGTGCCCACTACAATCCTAACTTGGCAATGGAATAAGAGCCCATCATCTTTCTTCCTGTGTATTTTTTCTCCAAGTACTTCACTTGGAAAAAATTAACTTTTTGCCTCACTATTAAGCATATGATCAAGTGAGGAATGTTACGGGCTCTGTGTCCAGAAGTGATGATCTGTGTTCAGTTCAAAATGAATATGTGATTATTAAGGACTGTTCAGTCCATTTTCACTGTAAGATATACACCACTAAATATATATGCCACTAAAAATGTGTACTTTAGCGATAGTGACCACATCATCATGTGGACATCTTAAGGATCTAAGGACATAAAACCTATACCTGAATCAATAAACCTGATATGGTTACCAGTCCCTGACAATGGCCATCATCTGTACCAACAAATTTTCAGTTTGGTAAATTATTTAAAATCACCATCTGCTTTATATAGTTTTATTTAAGTCTTGAATTCCTTCCTGTTTCCTTCCCTATCTGCTTTCTTTCTCTCTTCCTCTCTCTAGCCATCTGCCTTCTTTCTCTCCTCTATCTAACCATTTTCTATCATAATCTGTCTCTTCTCTCCTTTTTTCTTATATGTATGTATGTATGTAGGTATGTAAGGGCGTGTGTGTGTGAACTTCTTTGTGTACATACAATGAAAAAATGCAAAAAATAAAATAAATAAAAAAAAAAAAAAAAAAAAACCTATACCTAACCACAGGTACTTATTCTGACTTTCAATACACTCAAGTGTATTGTCTAGGTGTATTGTCTTGGTTCCTAACTCGGTCCATCTTAAGGACATAAAACCTTAACCTAACCACAGGTACTCACTCTTGACTTTCAATACACTCAAGCCTAGGTTCCTAAATTCATCAGCCAAGAGAAATGACAGAGTTGAGAAACTAATGATTATGTTAATAAATGTTTGAATTGTTTCTTAGATATTTTCATCTTGACCTTGCGTTTGTAATCATCTATTTTTTTTTTATTCTATGGACAGTTGATACATGTAGTTCTGTGCTCATGGTGTTGTAAATACATAGTCGATAAGTAATTACAGTTTTTTGGTTAATATTTAGTACTTGCACTATTGTTTTTGTTTGTTTACTGTTGTCAAGATGTTTTCACAATGGAAGCATCATGATTTTCTAGGGTGTTATGAAGGAAGACTGAATGTTCAATTTTCATGAAGAAAGCAAATTGACACCAGAAAGTTCTAAATACCACGAATTGTAAAAGTGTAAAAGAAGGTTTAAGTGGCCGTAGAGTTCTAGTCAAGCCTACTTTGGTTGTTCACTACATTACAGTTCTGTCGTATGTAGTGAGTATTTTAAAATCATTAATTCTATGTGGAACAAATGATAACATATGATCAATTCTGCAATTTTTTCTCATTCTTGCTGAACAGATGAGTTTAATCACCCGACACAAAGGCAGGGTTTTCCATAATTTTGTTAGTAGTAGGCTGTGTAGTGAAAGTAGGAGGCTGGCCTGTCTTGTACGTGTAGTCGTGTACGGAACATTATTACGGAACTGGATTGGTGTAGGCGGCCAAATGATCAAAGTAGCCGGTCAAATTGGCCAGCGACCGGCTATTATAGAAAACCCTGCAAAGGTGCATCAGTAAACATCACTGACCATTTTGCAGGTTCAGTTTTCGTGTCATGTTGAAAAGGTCAAAACATGCTGAGTTTGCCTTAAAGAAAATATAGAACCAGAAGCTACAAAGAATGGAAAGAGAATTTATTGATTGTTTTCTTTGATGATTATGAAGAATCTAGATAAAACTAGGTATTTATCTAATAATGTTACATACACAATTTACATCAAATATGTTTTGGTTGGAAACAGAAGCTTGAAGTGAAATTAAAAGGACCGCCATAGAACAATGTGTCTTGACATGAGATTAAACAGGTATAAATTGGAATTCAATGTACCTATCTTTGACCACCTTAGTTTTTTCACATGTTATATAAAATAGCAGAAAAAGATTCTTAAAGGAAAGAGAATTTAAGTTTTCAATTAGGATTTTGTGGACCCATAAAATGCATTCTGCCCATAACATACATTGTGATTAAATGTCTAAACGTCCTGAGAAAGACTGCCAAACTAACTGAAAGTCAGACAGTCATCTGTCCAGGGAGTACTGGGTTTTCCATAAGAGCCGGTTGCCGGCCAATTTGACCGTCTACTTTGATCATTTGGCCACCTACACCAATCCAGTTCCATAATAATGTTCCGTACACGAGTACATGTACACGGCAGGCCAGCCTCCTACTTTCACTACACAGCCTACTAACAAAATTATGGAAAACCCTGGAGTATCTTGATACATAGTGAATCATACGGCAGGCCAGCCTCCTACTTTCACTACACAGCCTACTACTAACAAAATTATGGAAAACCCTGGAGTATCTTGATACATAGTGAATCATATACTAAAGAAATAATAATTTATTTGTCCATTCAGACCTGCCTTCATTACGTTTAAGTTAGTAATCCTGAATACATCAGTGCTCCGACAGATGGGACAAATACCTAGGACCTATCTATAAAACTTACCAAGCAAAGTATCCAGGTGAAAATGTAATTTTTGAGACATCAATTGAAATGTTACTTAAGATTGTGACATAAGAAATTAAAACCTGTATTCAAGTTCATATTTTTACCGTCTGCAACTACAAGGGTAAGTTAAAGTAAATAGAATTACTCTTAGCTGAAACATTTTTATGGGCCTACTGGTCTTCTCAGTTATGTCAAACTCAAAGAGGCCTTTTATTAGAAGGGAGAAATACTCCTATATTTTTATAATCATTCAAATAGTAAGGCCACAGGTGCTTTATACAGAGTATATTGGTATATATTGGCGATGTCTGGTCTTAAGTAAAATAGGTATCCAACTGGATCTAACGCTTAAGCATGCATATGGCGTGCCTTGAGAATTGAGGGATGGGGAGGGACGGCATGGGAGAAATATTGCCCACGTGGTGTTCATTTCATCGATATCCGATTATTTTCAGACAGACGGATGATATTGAATAACGATGTCAATATGCTATGGAAGACATTACATCATATCCCACGTTTTTACAGATAACCGCTCTCAGTATTTATCTGTGGGTGGGAAACAACCAAAATTTGCCCGAAATGTGGTGATCCTGTCAAAGGCAGTTGCTGTCAGAGTCGTACGAAATATTCGATTTATTAAAAAGTAAATATCCTTATTAAGCATTTACATACCACAGTAATCTAATAACAATGTTCTTCACTCTAAAATAAGGAGCGGAACGCAGCAAAGTCAAATTTAGACATAGAATGAATGGAACATGGCGGAAGTTCTGAAACACGTGTTCCGCCGACAATTTTTCGTGGTTTCAAGTCCATAAAATCCTTGGTTAAATGACAACAGGAGAAATTACCAAATGATTGTTTTTACCTCTGATTGTGTCCTGACATCATTATCCGTGCTCATCAAACTCTCTAAGAGAGCTTCGAACTGTGCCTGGTCAGCCATTTTTCCTCGTCATGCCGTCGTGAAAAGCTCATTGACCTTTCACCTTACATATTCCCGCCTTACTTCATTTCGTAAAATATAATGTGCAGTTATGTCCCTTCGTTCAAGTAATGTCTACCTTTGGCTATTATTAAATAATAAAGACATTTCGTTTTGTTCTTGGCGCAGTTGCCAAGCTCATTTACTTACGGTTTTACAGTTTTATAGATCTTCATAAAACTACAGTACGCGTTGTAAAGAACTAGACACTTCAATAGTCAATAATCATAATAATATTGAACATAACCTAAGTCCATCAAAAATACAAAGCCATGTTATTTAATAAAAAAATATATATACCAAAAAATGTTAGATTTACGATAGGTTTCTGACTCATAGAAACCTATACATAACTTATTATACAATTTTTATAAATCATCAACACAGTAGGACGAGTAATTCAGTTTAATGTCAATGGTTTGAGTTAACAGTATTGTACGACTAATCGTTATGATGGCCGATAACGACTTCTGTGACAGGTGTATAGCGTCACACAAAGACACTTTATACGCCTCATAACCCTCCTCAATATAGATCATACACAAAATGCACACTGCCTGGCGATTTCAGTCGTGATTATAAATTAGACCAAACAAACGCCCCTTGCATGTACGGTATATATTGATATAGAAATCTATCTGATCAAGAACACAAGAGCATATGGTACTAATAATGTACACGCGACCTTTGAATGCACATGATTTAGAAAACCCATTTAGTTGAGTCGTAATAATACAAGCCAATTTCCACAAATGATAACCAGCAGTTGGTGATTGGGTTCGGTTAGATAGTTATTTAGAAAGAACGAACCACTAATGGCACATATTGTATCAAGAAAAAGTTGATTTTGATAATTTGACAATATGATTTTTGAGATGCTGAACAAGTATTCCAAACACATTTTCAAATTTCAAATATTTGTTTTTGGTTTTTATAACGCTGGTCCTGCTCCCCCCCCCCCCCCCCCATCTCTCTCCCCCCCCCCCCCCCTCTCTCTCTCTCTCTCTCTCTCTCTCTCTCAAGAACACACAATACACAATCAATGGCAAGATAAGAGAGCGACGTTTCGATGACTGCGATCATCGCCATCAGCTAAATTACACTGCGACTGCGGAGCTTATTAGCACTGATGTACGTAGTGTACGAGATGGTACGGAATCGACCAACTTTTTCGGCTGTACTATAATCCTATTTACACTAATGTCGAAAATAGCGTGACGAGATGGTAGATACCAAAACATAAACAAGATAGTAACAATGTACAGTAGTCAGTTCGGCTATGCTTCGTTTAACAAAAAACAAAAACAAACTAAAACATCTTAACTTCGCCATGTTAGATGTAGCCTATAAATCCATGGTTATGTATAATTATATTGCATTATGTTACTGGCAAAGGTTGAATAATTTGGTTAAATTGTTCCCAAACCCTTTTGTATATCAACACGGATTTAGATATTCCGTGACATCAATAATGCAAATAAAAATACGCTTAAATAATTTTGAAAAAAAATCGATCTATACATGGGAATGGAATATTACGTCCCGCAAAATGATGTAAGGGTGACTAGGCACAAGTAAGAACAGGCCTAATGATTGGAGAAATTAAGACCAGTGTAACAAGAAATAATATAAATGTACAAAAACCGTAGCCTTAGCGACAGAAGGAAGAATAGACTTAGCGTGAAAAGGATATCTTTAGCGACAAAAAATACGGAAGCTAGTTTCAGTGACAAAAGAAAGGACAGCCGAACGGTTAGAAAAATGATGAATTTAGCAATAATGGAAAATGAAAGTCTTAGCGACAGAAACTACGGTTTGTCTTAGCGACAGAAGAAAGCATAGTCTTAGGATATGATAGCTATAGCAACCAATACTATGATAGCAACAGCCATAGTACATAAAAACAAAACAAAACAAAACAAACAACAACAAAAACAAAAAACTAAAAAAAAAAAAAAAAAGAAAAAAATACCAACATGTCAAAATAATCATAATCCAAATTCAAATTCAATGAAACTAGGACAAAATACGAACAAAAGAAATAGTTACACGGAGACTCCTAAAAATGTACAGGGAGAATAAGGCCAAGCGTTCCAGAAGAGTAAGCGCGTTCTGTTTCATCGACTAATAGATCTTGGTTTATCCAAGTAGAAAAGACAACGTATACAACAAAGGAACCAACTGGCAAACTATCCTCTATATATATATATATACAGATATCGGGACACCTAAATTTACACTACTGATCTCGATCTTAGTTTATAACTTTGTATCTGATCTATGTATGTGATGTCATTTATATCTGTGTCTTGATAAAGGGGCAGATAGACTCGAAAATTTGACAATTCACTTGTTCGTACTGTCATAATCACTTCCTTGATAATATACATACACACACATATATATATAATAAAAAGACTGGAAAACACGATGAGCTCATCGTGTTTTCCAGTCTTTTTATTTTTTTTTTATATTTTTGCTGGGCATGGAGAATTCATCACATTTTAACTATATATATATATATATATATGTGTGTGTGTGTGTGTGTGTGTGTGTGTGTGTGTGTGTGTGTGTGTGGAAACAACTTTAAACAAAACGTCGAATTAAGTATCAGCTCTTTCATTTCTGAATATTCGTGATTATTTATTTAGCATCCTGAATATTTATGGATGAATGAGCACATGTTTAATTCGACGTGTTGTTTGAAGTTACTTAAATATATGTCACAGGACACTGTGAATTCAAACCTTTATATTTGAATATAGACTCGATTTTTTATTAAAACGTTGTATTTGTTTTATGTTCCATATATGTGATGTAACTAATGTAAAATTTTGTGTCTTGATAAAGGGGCAGAATGACTTGAAAATGTGACAATTCACTAATCCGTACTGTCGCCATTACTTCATTGATAATATGTCTTTCAGTTAATGTTACCAATATCGGACTATTGCGTACTAGATTACATGTGAACGTGATGTTATGTTCTTAAACCATCAGCTGTTTTTATGTTCCTTGATATATAATCATGCTTCTTTTTAGCGAAAATAGATTTAGAATGTAATATTGTCAGTCAATATAAAGGTCTTTCTTTACGAAGCCTTTTTTGATATAGACTATAAGTTTCACTGGTGCGATGGGAGATAACTCTAAACTGGAACTCAGCAGGTGCTTGTACGCCAGTTTGACAGTTGGCGTGAGAAGCATAGGGTGGTTCTGTGTGACTGAGGTCATAATTGGTTGTGAACAGGTACCAAAATGTCAACGGTTTTCTGTTCTCGATGAAGAATATGTCTTCACATATAACTTTAGTTTGTTTATACAAGGACATGTCGGAATCAGGTTGAGTGCAGTTACAGTGCCGGTGGATACTACAGTAGTATACTCTTGCTTGAAGGGTAACTTAGTGCTAAAAATGGCGTCTGCTAGAGTCGCTAAAATAAAACGTCAGAGTTCAGTAAGAGATGAAGAAAAAGAAAAGGGACCACCCAAAATTAACAGCTATGATATTCTTACGACGATAGGTGAGTATTTCTTTTGTGTTCATGGTTTCTTTGAAGGAAAATAATCTGATAAGTTTTACGTTAAGTATACTGATGTAGGTACAAGTTGTACATACATTGATCATGGTATACATTGCTAATTAATGTATCAGTGTATTTCTTAATGAATACCATGTACAAATGTCATATTGGATACTTCATATCTAAAATGAATTACTATCAATTTCCCCTCCCCTCCTTTAGTGTTTCACAAACACTGTCATAAAAATAGAAGTTAATTGGTTGGAAGCAATCTTTATTGTCTTCAAACTATAGATAATCAGATAGAGCCATGACAGATTGTATACATTTTTGTATGTCGCTGTTTTGGGGATTATGGATTGTCAATTAAGTGGTAAATATGCTTTCATGACTTAGAAACTGGAGAAAACTTGAGCAAATAGGAAGTTTCAGCATAGTTCTTCGACATGCATTCTGACATTCTAGATACACGTAAGAGTCACTGAGACAGTCATCACTGCATATTTTTGCCTTCATATCATTACCTTCATTATATTGCATGACTTGGTTACATTTTGGTCTTAATCAGATATGTTTAGGAGTTACCAAACTCTATGAAGCATAGATGGGATGGGAGTTTTTTTTTCTAGCACATTGACTTTTTAATAGATGTACATTTGTACTATGATGTACATGTACCAAACAAGTAATGGAGAGGTCTCCTGTCTCAGATAATTATACAGATCTTTATGTATTTTTGTAAAGTTTGTGGTACTCAATAAACACGTCACGGTAAAGTAATTTGAAAAATGTTTCTTGACTTGTTAAACCTCAGATTTGTGGTAATATCAGATGAAAAGATGCCAAGAGTTTAAGCTGGACAGCATAGGGATACTAATACCCAGTAGTACTACTGTACATATTCCCTGTGGTTAGGGAGGAGTAAGTCTAATAGGTGTTAATCAGTAGTTGGTGTAAACATGAAGATGTGTAACCTACATGGCCTCCAGCTTTGATTACATATAGTCCATTGTGGGAAACTGGGAGTGGAGGCTCTAGGGCTTACCAGCATCTGTACCACAGGCAGCTGGTACAGGTCAAGGGTCAATGAGTACCTACACATCTATCACCATGGAAACCTGCTTGTATTGAGTTAATTGAAAATTAGGGTTTGGTATTCTCTCAGAAGTGTTCAGCTTTATTGTCACAGCTAAGACCATGAAGCTACTTTTGGAAAATTTTAAGAACTGTGGTAAAAGATATTAGTATAAATTAAGATACATATCTGTAATTTATGCTTGTTATAACTCTGTCTTCAAGTTTAATAGTTCCACTTCATATACTGAAAATTAACATCTTGTACACCACAATGAAGTGAATGAGATACAATATACAGACCCCGAACCATTTAATGTTTCCACTCTAACACAAACAAAAGGCAAAAACGATTGGACAAACGATCATAAAAATGCAAAATGATCAACGATAAAGGCAAACAAAATTAAAAATGCAAAATAGTCAACGAAAATGCAAAATGAATTATGATACACAGGAAACAATCAACAAAATATATATAATTACGGAACCAGACTCAGTTATAATATCAGATTGATCCAGATGACGCTATACACATATTGTGTACTCACAGGACCGTGTTATCACATCCATACACCTTTCATACAATGTTTTGCAAGGAGTAATATGCATAGAGTATATAGATATGCTAGTGATTAGTATAATGTCGTAGTGAGTAAGTTGTATTTTTCTCTCTGATGAAAGAATTGTCAGTCATTTACTCCAAAACTTGAAAATGATACCATCTTTTCATCACCAAGAAAAAAACTCAGTTTCTTTCTAGTTGAAAAGCTGTGATAATATTCACATACAGATAAATTTGAGTTTCTAATAAAAAAAATCCTCCTCCTTATCTGATAAAGTTACTAATCAGGGTTCTTAATCAGACACTGAAAATACAGACACGATTAGATCTTTAAAAATAAATCCCATAGATTTCTATATAAGTATGAATTCATAAATGAATGCTATATATTTTCAGTTATTTACTTTGTTGCTTGATATTCAAGCATTTTATTTACCTGTATGTCAGGTTGTTACAGCTATAGGTTTCAACTTGTGTTACTAATAAAAGATAATGGATTTTTTTTGTGCAAGGTTTTTGACCAATGTTGGGTACAAAATAAAAACTTATTAGATTAGGACACAGCAAAATGTTTATCATAGACTGGGAAATACAGACTGGTATTTAACACAAGGTGTTACAATCAACAACGACCCCATGCAGAGACTGGACTAATTAAAGGTGCCCCACCTCAGACAATGCCTTCAATATAATTATCAAGTAACAGGTATACCTGTCTGCAAACAGAGACCATCAACAGGTAAAACATGGGCTTTAGTATCTGATTTACAATTCACTGACATTGGAAATATTAAAATAATTTTGAGAAAGATATGTTTTTCATTATGTATATGAATAATGATAAAAATAATGAAATTGAGGTTTTTCTTGTAAAACCAATTTTCATGATGTAATACTTACCATAACTTTAGTATGCATATCTCCCACTAATTCCCATTCATTTGTATACAATATAAACACTGTTTTTTGGGAATTGGGTTTCTTTTTGTTACTTGTTAACCAAAGTTATGGTAATTATTACTGAAATGAAAATGAAATTTAGCATTACCAGAACTTTCACAAATACATATTGATATCATAGGACTATGTTTTTCAGTCTGACTGATTCTCTACATTATATTAATCACTGGTGATTCTTTGCATTATATGGATCACGGGTTTAGAAGTGTCCATACAAAGAGTACTGTAACTTTCTGTAAACTGGTTTATACTTTGATCCAGATATCAACATGTAAAGTGCATCATTTCTAAGTTCATATTCCAAATCTTCATTTAGATGTAAGTACACTCTTTTAACATTTTATGATTTTATTCTAGATACAAAGCAGAAAATCTTAAGATTTTTTGTCAGAAATTTTACTGAAAATACACTAAAAACAATACAAAATAAAACTGCATGCAGCATTTCCACTCATGATCAAAAATTAGTTTAGGTCGTCCAAGAATTAGAGGGGTATTTTAATAAGGTATTTGTTATTACCGGAACAATAAAGATAAAATGTTGACATTTGATATATTGACTATCAGAATGAACACGGAATAAATATTTTTTTTATTGTTGAATTTAAAATTTCAAAAAAATTTAAAACCTAATTTGTTGAATTATTTGGATTTAAAAAATCAGGTTCAGAATTTTGGATGTTTGCAAACTGTCTAAGTCTATGGACCAAAATGATTTTAATGCACAATGTCATGTATTATTTTGTGAATATTATTGATTTCCTCATCTGTCATAGTAATAATATTTTTCATAACTGAGGCTTGTTTGAATTCACAAAATGAGGCTTTTACTTTTTTGATAGTGGTGAATATAAATCTCAGACTTTGAAGCTCCATTTTGATTATACTTTTTAACTTTGTAGATTATACATTCACTTATGCATCTATTCCAACTTGCCTGAAGTTCTAAAACAATGCATAGACTATTTCAAAGAAATATATTACTAGACCAGTATTGCTGTTGTGGGTTCGTATTGCTTGAAGTAGGATATGAAACTGGATACATTTCCATTGTGGGATTAGATACTTCTCATCTTTACAAAGAATTATACTCTCATTATTCTGTACTAGCACATGTAAGCACATAAAAGTTCCTTCAGAAGAAGGAATCCAACCACTTTTTCCATGCAGTGTGTTTTAAGTGTTCATAGCCATGTAACATGGGTTAGGTGGAAAGAAAGAGGTAGTACACTATGAAATACACCTCAGATCAGCAGATAATCCCTGATATTAATTCCTACCTGTTTTACCTCTACATGCTAATCTGACTCTAAATGCTTATTTAAGTCTAGGTTGCACTATAATACATTTTCACAATGCCATATTGTTAGTGATCTCTGTTTTGGTTTTACTTAATGCATGCGTTAATAGTTGCATTGAATATTATTTTAAAAGTAATTAACATAAATTACCTTTATTTTCTAATTAGCATGGAAGAATATTATAAGGTATCCAGTAACATTAGATTTGTTGTTGTGTATGTACAACATATATTTACTGTTAAAGAAAAGTTACAATAAGATAAATACATTAAATTTGTAGTGGTAAGGGGAATGGTTTTAAATGAATGACTTTGTGCTCAGGGATTCAGCTATAGAAATTGAAGTGATCAATTTCAATATGTAGGGCTCAAATTTTGATTGTTATAAAACGGTACCAAACAACTGTTTATATAGTACCCTTTGTTATGGAGATCAATAAGAAATTTTGTTTAGCATGTAACTTCACATAGATCCTTATCACAAACCTGTTTATGTAGCACTTGTGTAACACCCAAGAAAATCAACATTGACAAATTGTAATTGTGTATCATGTACAGTGACCCTGTAAAAAGGAGCTTATTTGTTATCTGTTTAGATAGTAAATTTTTGTATACATAGTGTTTGGAAATTTAACAGAATTTCCCAGGCTTTTAACTATAAATATTTACATGACTTTTCATGTGTCCTAATACAATTGTATAGGTCTATAGCTCTATATTGTGCTGTATGAGAAATTTCAGCAGTTTGAAATAAATATATTGTTATGGTTCAGGTTTTAAATTGAATTTATTTATGTGGGAAACGTTCTTGAACATTGAAATTACAATTATATGTAATACAATACTGATCTAGGATTCTTTGTATCACAATCACAGTATGAAAAACAGGAATGAAAACAGTTTTTTTAAATTAATGATGATAACATTCCAGTTTTATCCATGATTTTATCTACACAAAATTCAGATTAGCTCCTTTGTTTCTTTTTAAATCATTCGTGTTGCCTTTTCTTCAGTGGGATGAGGGTCTTGACAGGGAGGAGATAGGGGAGTGGATTGAGGGGCTTGACAGGGAAGAGATAGAGGAGTGAATTGAGGGGCCTG